GCCAAGCGCTACCCACTTGCAGTTTCCCCAAGCAGCCAGCGCCAGCGCCAGCCTGAAGGAACTTGGGAAGGAGCCCGCCAGGCTTTGACAGGCTCGCCTTCTGGCGGACTCGCCTCACTGCCCGGCTTCCCGCATCCACAGCCTCCGGCAGTCTCAGCTGTGCTGGTGCTTGTGCTTGCACCACCACCACCACTGCAGTACCCTTGAGTACCTTCTTCAACAGCCGTCATCTCTCTGCTGCCTTTCCATTGCCTTTCCTCCTCCTCCTCCTCCTCCTCCTCCTCCATCATCCCACTGCCGCGTCGGACCCTCGATCTGCAGGCTCGACTTATCTGATCTGTTGACTCATCTCTCCACTCCTTTTCCCTTTCTTTTCCCTTTCCCTTCCTCTTCTTGCATCTTCACTCAAAACCCTTTTTGCCGCTGCTTCGACCAATCATCCCGCCTCCCGCGTGGACGGTGACCCCCAAGACGATTTTCGTTGCAGAAACTGGGATTCAGCAAGGGGGGACGAACCAGCACCTACTTGTACTCAACCATCACCACCAGCAGAGACTCTCGATTCAACCACATCCACCACCAGCGTCCCAGCCGCAGCGCTTTCTTTGCGCCGTCGCCCATCACCGACCAGCACCATGCCCGGCTCCTCGGACAACGGCTCGTCGAGCAACGGCGGCAACCACTCGGGCGTCAGCCCTTCTCACGACGACTCCACGGCGCCTCGCGATGCGCATCCCGACAACTCCAGCGTTCCCAAGCCAAAGCGCCTCGCCTGCATGATCTGCAGGAAGCGCAAGCTCAAATGCGACGGCATCCGGCCCAGCTGTAGCACCTGCTCGCGCCTGGGACACAACTGTGCCTACGATGAGCAGCGGAGGAAGAGCGGGCCCAAGCGTGGCTACGTCAAGGCCCTGGAGGAGCGACTCAGTGAGAATCCCCGCAAAGTCTCCTTGTTGTGGTGTTATTTTCCTACTTGTGCCCTTTGCTTCTTTATCTCGTCGCTGCGCTGTCGGGCGATCCCTGTGATTCTTCGAGAGGATGCGCGGGGGAGAAAGGGGGGAGGCAGTGGGGGGAGAGGAAGGAGAGAAGAGAAGACGATGCAGCCATTGCGACCCTGATTAATCCATCGACAACCAATGGGGACAACACTTCAACATGCGGAAATGCTAATCTGTGTTCGCAGAACAAGTTGAGACATTATTAAAGACCCAGGAACCGCCAGCGAAGAGCCCGACAAAGGGCGTTGGCATGCAAATGCCAAACGCTCACCACCAAGCCAATGCTCCTGCGGCTATGCCCATGCCCAACCCCAACATGGGCATGAATGGAGACGAACGTTGGCAATTCAACAATGACGAGTCGCCTCAGGCACCGCCCCTGGATGACTTCGGCTTCAATGCCAACATGGGCATGCCCGTCAACAACATGCCCGGAAACTTCACCTGGGAAATGATCGGCCTGGGACTGGAGGAGCCGCTACCGCCACAGGAAACCATTGATGAGCTGCATCAAATCTACTTTGAGAAAGTTCATCCGTCGATGCCCATGATTCACAGATACCGGTACATGGCCGCAATGAACCTGTATGTCACCATTTCCTCTGTTGACTCTGGCAATGGCTCACAACTCGCACAGGGCACCAAGTGCGCGACCCCCAGTCTGTTTACGATACGCCATGTGGACGTTGGCGTGCTCCATCTCGGACAAGTACACGGATCTCAAGGATCTTTTCTACCAGAGGGCACGCAAGTATGTCGAGGCCGACTACATGAAGGGCTTTGGAGAGCATATGATTTCCGTCGCGCATTGCCAGACGCACATCCTGCTGGCGAGCTACGAGATGAAGATGATGTACTTCCCCAGAGCCTGGATCAACACCGGCTCTGCCGTCCGCCTGGCCCAAATGTAAGCCCCGCCTTACTCTGCTGCCAATTGCGCACGTCGTGGACTGACAAGATGCAGGATTGGACTGCACCGCATGGATGGCAGTGGCCTGGACGTTAAGCAGTGTCTGCCGCCTCCCAAGGACTGGACCGAAAGGGAGGAGAGGAGACGAACGTTTTGGATGGCTTTTTGCGAGGATCGCTATGCCAGCATCGGCACCGGTTGGCCCATGACGATTGACGAAAAGGACATCAAGACCAACATGCCATCGTCAGACGAAGCCTTTGACATGAGCCGTCCCGAGCAGACGCTCACTCTGGAGGAGTGTACGAACCCGTCCGGAGCCGGCAAGCTCTCGTCATTTGGCGGCATCATCCTCATGGCTTGTCTGTTCGGCCGCAACCTGATCCACCTTCACCGGCCCGACGACGATGACCTCGATCACGACATCAACGGCCCCTTCTGGAAGCGCCATCGACAAATGGACCACATCCTCCTCAACACCTCTCTTTGCCTCCCCTCCCACCTCAAGCTTCCTGCCGGCCTGGCCAATCCCAACGTCGTCTTCACCAATATGAGCATCCACACGTCAACTATTTGCCTTCATCAGGCGGCCATCTTCAAGGCAGAGGCAAACAAGCTTCCGGCATCTGTCAGCTCGGAAAGCAAAGTTCGATGCATCACTGCCGCAAACGAGATTGCCAGTATAATGCGGACAATATCACACATGGATTTATCTGCAGTAAGTTCTTTCCGAACACACATTGTGGGTGTAGTGGCAGTTGCTAACGTGAACATCTTAGATGAATCCATTCATCGCCTTTTGCCTCTATGTCTCTGCTCGAGTCTTCATACAGTATCTCAAGAGCAAGCCTGATGACGCGCAGACGATTGATTCGCTGCGATTCCTGATCTCGGCCATGAACGCCCTGAAGAGGCGGAACCCTCTGACCGAGTCCTTCCTTGTGCAACTCGATGTAGACTTTGAAACGCTAGCACAAAAGATCCCCAAGTTGAGAGGCGCTTTCCCTCGCCCTGGCGATAGTGTAAGCCTTAGTCTCCCTCTTTCGCTTTCTCCCTTTTCAAACTGACTGTTTGGTGTAGCCTGCCGAACCCCCCAAGGGACTTCCCGTACGGGCCGGAGCCGTCTGTGATGATCCAGAGGGTGTCAAGGGTATCTTGTCCTACCGGAACGAATGCCACTTCATGAAGACGACGGGTGATAACGGCAATACTGCCACGGCTCCCGAACTCACTGAGACCTCCACCGATTCTCAGAGCATGTCGACGTCAAACTCCAACAACTTTGGAAACGGAGCCTGGCTTACGGCCGAGCAGCAAATGCACGTATTGACGCCAAATTCCAATGGCATGTATGATAAGAACATGGGTGGCGGCGGCGGATTATCCGGCTATGGCGACGGTCTCGATCAAGATGCGTCTGGATCCCCCGACGTGCATTCTGCTGGGCGCACTCCGAACTCGAGCGGCGGCGCGTCAGACACACGAACTCACCTAGCACCCGGCCAACTTTCCGGCGGCAGGTCGGCACACGAGTCGTACCGCGCGAGCCCCATCTCGCCGCAGCAAACGATGATGAACCACGGCGGCATGGACAACGGTGCTACTCAAGGATTCTACAACGACCCCAATGGATTTACAATGGCTGCGGGTATGGGTATGCCACAAGCCCCTTACGGCATGTCCAATGGGTGGGGAGGACTCAATGGGCCAACAGCGGGCATGCAACCAGTCGGTGGTGAGGGCGTCCTGAGAGCACTGATGAACATGGGACCCATGGACGCCATGGATCTATCATCGTGGGACTCTGGAAACCCCCATTAGTGAGCCACCTTCAATAGGCATCTACCGCACACACAACACACCACAGATGAAAGAGAAAGAGGGTGGGTGGAAAAGCATTGTCTCGGCTAGACTGGGCTCAAAGGGGAGGTGGAGGGACCGTTTTGGGCCCTCTTATCTTTTGGAACTTCTCATCTTCTTTTCTTTCTAATTTCCTTTTTTTCTACTGGGAGTTTCTGCCTTGCACGAGGAAAACGTTTCGACAGGTATATACGGACTTTCTTACTCTCGCTTTACGGCTACACGTTGTCTGGATGATTGGACGATTTTATGGCGTGTCTGGGATTGGGCGAAATTGGTTGTTCTTCTTGCCTTTCTCTGTCATTGGTCTATACTTTTACATTTTTCACATCTTCTTATCATCTTCTCTTTACTTGAATGCTGGTGGTGACAGGATGAAGATGGAACTGGACAGCTATTTAGTTAATACCCAGCTATGAAGAATGTACCCTGGATAAAGCAACAAATCAACTCTGCGAGTGTGTAACAATCAGACAAGACCAGGTCCTCTTTCCTTGACCAAGATGAAGCTTAGAAGAACGTGGAGTGAGAATCGAGGTGCACAAGTTGTCTGAACAAGGCAGGTGGTCCGTGCACGCATTGCCGCCCTGCAGCGCTCCTTCTCCGTGCGACTGCTTACTTTCCCCGCTCGGGCCTCGTCTATTGGATGAGGAACAGGGAAGCCGCGATGCTCTCTTAAAGCAGCGACCGGGGAATTTCAAACCAAACAAACAGCAGCAGCAGCAGCAGCATCATCATCATCATCATCTCTACTGGGCGTCATCTTATTGATTCATTTTCTCATAAAGCAGTTGTGCATCTTCAACTCAGATAAGGCTGTTCCTTCTCACCGCCGTCTTTTCGTCGCATCAGTTTCGGCCCTTTCTGAGTTGCCCGGCATGGCGGCTCCGGGGAGCTCGTTCGGCGCTCCTACGACGGCGCATTATCTGGGTGTTGGGTTGGATTTCGAGGCTGTTGGGATTGCTGCTTACTCAAATCTGGAGAACTCATATCGTGGGGATGTTCATACCGCTGGTGATGATGGGGAGATTGATGAAGGTGACGACGAAGATTGCGGGAATGGGAATGGCAGCAGAAACAACAACCATAACGGCGATGGTGGCGACCGCAGCAACACTACCGGCAGTGGAAGAGGTCATGATGGATGCTCGGCTGCTTTGTTGAATAAGGGGAGGGTAAGGGGGAGAGAAGGCGGGTTTGGAGGGTATCAAGGTGCGAGACATGCGACGGCCATGGCGGCACAGCAGCAGCGTCAACACCAGCATCAGCAACTTCAGTTTCATCAGCAACAACAGCAACAGCAACAGCATCGTCTTCCGGCAGTTCCAGGCCCTCACCAAGGATACCCTCACGGCAGCCACCAGCAACAGAGACAAGTGTCCGCAGGGCCGTATACGACTAGCATCCTTGAGCCGACTCCCGTGTCCGCCGGCGTGCCAGCCCACAATGGCTCAGCTTTGCAACATCGAGACCAGCATCACACCCATCACGATCAAAGTCATCTCCGAAACGTAGAAGAATCACCTGATTCTGCGGCCGTGCCCTACAAGCTTAGCCAAGCCAAGCTCGTCGTCGACCCTCCCGATCTTCAAGCGTGGCGCCAGAAGCTCTTCGACGTGGACGACGTCATCATCCTCACACACGAGCAATTCGAGACGTACTTCCCCCACGTCGACAACGTCTACTCCCACCGCTCCACCCAACGATACAAGCGGAAGCCCTTCATCTCACACTATTGGGACTGCCGCATGAAGGGCCGGCCGCCCGGGACGCCCAAGTCGGACGACCCGAGCAAGAAGAAGCGCAAGCGCAGCGCCCGAGAGCGTGACCTGTGCGACGTCAAGATCAAAATCACCGAGTACTTTCCCGATGCCGGTGCGGAGGCTGCTCTGGACCGGGACGTTGCCGCGGCCATTGCCGCCGGCACGGCTGCCGCTTCGGTCATTAGTGCCGGGAGGCGGTTCTGGACGATTCAGCGGGTCAACGGCAACGGCGGCAACGGCAAGGGGGACGGAGTGGCCGGGCCGCATCGGCATACGTTGGAGCGGAGCGACGAGATCAAGAAGAGCAGCGTGCAGCGCTTGGTGGCGACGAGGGCCAGGGAGGGCAAGAAGACGCAGGTTAGTCGATGGGAAGAGCCTGAGCATACGGTACCGTGAAAAGAGAAACTGACACGCAGAGCCTTGTTGCGTTTGCAGAGAGCACCGCAGATCAAGGCTGTTGGCGCAGCGCAGGAGACGGCTCGGATGCACAGCAAGGAGGCTGATTTGAGGCTGTATGCGGCATGTTTCTGGTACGCAACCTCTGCTTCGTCTCACCCTTCCATCTTCCAGCTTCTAAAGTCAAAGCCGCAGCCCCTTTTCACAGCGCGTCTGGATCGCTCTCGAGGCCAAAGGCCAGCCATACCAGTACATCGAAACAGATCCCTTCAAGCGGCCCGTTTCAACGCCCCTCCTGGAGGCCAACCCGCGAGGCCTTGTCCCCGCCATCCGTCAGGGGGACTGGGCCTGTTCTGAGAGCGCCGTTATTCTTGAATATGTATGGACGATCCATCCACACGTAGTGATGTATGCTAACTTGAACGTTCCATCTCGGATTCAGTTGGAAGACATCTACCCCGATATACCGCTGTTCCCTTCAGACCAGCGCCTGAGAGCCAACTGCCGCCTCTGGATCCATCATGTAAGTCACACTCATCCATCTCCCTTTACCATCCTCCTGATTCGAATCAAGGGCACTGACACTTTGAAAAGATCAACACCCGTCTCGTCCCGACGTTCTTCTCCCTCCTTCAACCACCATCACCCTCCACAAACCCCCCTCAACCCGCCATTGACGCCTCTACAACAACAACAACAACAACAACAACAACAACAACAACAACAACACCGTTCGAATCAACACCCTCCTCTACCTCCTCTCTCGCCCTCCTGCAATCCCACCTGACAGCCCTCGTCCTCGCCGCCGACGAACAAGGCCCCTACTTCCTCGGCCCGTCTCTGTCCCTCGTCGACATCCACTTTGCCCCCTTTGCTCTCCGCCTCAGCCGCATCCTCCGTCGTCGCTATCCAGGTTTCCTTCTGCTGGCCGATGCTACCACTCCTGGGACGCGCTGGCATCGCTGGCTGGATGCGTTGGAAAGGGATCCTCACATTAAAGCGACGACAAGTACCGATGAGTTTTATTTGGATACGGTAGACTTGCTTGTTCAGACGTCGAACGAGGGGAGCTGATGGGAATTTTCGACGGTTACTGTATTTCACAATTTGAATGAAAGCACATGATACCCGTACCTCGTCTCTTCAAAACGCGTGTGTTTCGGATCTTTTCGGCTTATTCTATTTTTCCATTGAGAGGCATTTAAAAATCCCTTATTATGTAACAGTCATGATGTATGTACATGATCAGAGAAGTGGTATCGATAGAAATCCATGCTGGCCGCCCAGCCTAAATATATGTATACACATGTCCAGCATTCCAATCCGAAATCCCATCATATCCAGGGTCCAAAGGCCACAAGTACAGGCGCGAGAGGTAAGAAAGATTACAAGTACAGCTACACAACTAGTGAGTGAAACATATCAAGAAGATGTGCGGCGGAACTGGGCTGTGTCTCTCCTGCGCCTCCTAATGTCGGCCCATTTCTCGCTAAAGGTGACGACGTCGCCGCTCTGCCGGGCCCGGACGCGGCCCTCACCCAGCTCTTCGAGGTCTTTGGTCTCGAGATACCTCTTTCCCTCTCCATCATCCACCCACCGCTGTGGATCGGGCAGGTATGCCCACGAAAAGACGGCACCAAAGGCTGCCACCGAGCCAAAGAGAAGAAAAATCAAGCCCTGGCGGCTGTCGCTCTTGTATGATTGGTTTATGCCATATACAATCAACAAAGAGACGATGCTACCGGCCTTGCCCGCCGCTGCTGAGATTCCATGGCAAGTCGATCGGTAGCACGTTGGGAAGATCTCAGCCGGTATGATAAATGTCAGCGTGTTTGCCCCTGAAACGAGACTGTTAGCATTGAGTTGATGGAGAATCGGGAGCCTTGCTCGAGAGGCTTCTTACCCATGTTGAACATGAAGTGGCAAATGGCCACAAACACGACTGTAGCGGGCGCAGCCGACTCTTGGTGGACGCCGTAGTATATGCCACCGGTGATGATGAAAAGAATGGCCAGGACGAAAAAGGAATTTGTGAGCCATGGCTTGCGCGGGATGCGGTTCGCGAAGAAGATGAAGCAGACGCTACCAGCAATCGAGGCCAAGGAGACAGTTAGCAGATACTGCTTCGTCTGCTGTATCAGCACGTCGTAGATGGTGTTACACGGCTTTGTCTTGTCCGTTTGCCATGCGGGCAGCCCCTCCGTCAACCAACTAGGCACGGTCGAGTTTCCTCCCGGCAGTGACGAGTTCCAGCACGACAGTGAGCTGTTGATGGGCTTCGGTTTCGACGTAGCCCACATATCAGCCAGAGTCCCTCGGTTGTCGAGCGAGAGGCCATAGAAGCTGACGTCGAGAAAAAACCATGCCGCTGATGTTCCGAGGAGGTAGTACCCGTTGCCGTCCCGTATGAAGTAGTTGTAAAGGTCCTCCCTGGAAAACTGGACAGGCATCGGCCCAGCAGAGTTTTCCGGCTGTATACCGCGGGTAGGATTCATCTGAACATTGTTTGAGTTGGTGCCGGGCGGGGCACCGTAGACACGCTGCGTATTCATAATGGCAACAGCAGGCTTGTTCTTGACCTCGAGGCTGTAGAGGCCGCAGTCGAACAAGAAGAACCGGAAAATGATGGCTAGGAGGGCGGGCACGGCGCCAGAGCCGATGACAATGCGCCAGATGCCGTCCACCGCTCTGCGACATTCCTCTTCGTGCAAGGTATCGAGCCCGCACCGCTTCGCCTTGAGTCCATGGGTGTTGTTAAACCCTATCAGGACCAGCAAGCCAATGATCTGGGCCAGGGCTTGTCCAACAGGCTGCATAAGGAAAACGCTGGCAAGCATGCTTGATCTAGACTGAGTGCTAGACCATTCAGAAGTAATCGTGGCGCTTAAAGGATATTCAGCTCCAATGCCTAGCGGGAATTGGTCAGTTCAAGCTACAAAGTCGAGGGCATAAAAGGGGGTGTAGAGGATCGTACCGATGCCCATGACGAAGCGCCACCAGATGAACAAGCCGATAAATGACATGTCGCCGTAGCCATGGCTGCTGGTAGCTACGCCAATGGTCGAGACAATGACAAGCACCAGCTCGATTCCATAGAGGCGGGTACGGCCAAAGCGATCAGCGAGGTAGCCAAAGAGCAGCTGTCCGACGATGGAGCCAAGGAGGGTAAAGAAGTTAATGAGGAGGCTAGTCCATTCGCCTCCGTGTGGCCAGTATACAAACGCGACAGAAGCAAGAATGACATTGGTCGAGAAGAGGTTATATCTGTCAGGGGATAGCGGTTAGTACGAGGAGGAGTGAGTTGTATATATGCATACGTAGTAATGCCGAGTATGAGTACAATAAGGGGATGAAGAGGGTATGAAAAGAGGAAGACAGCAAGAAGAGAAGGAGGAGAAGCAAGAGAAAGAGGACCAAGAGGGACACAAGGCTGGGAACTCACGAGTCGGTAAGGAAACCCGAGGCGGCAACGCCCCAGATGCGGAGGTTCCAAGAGTTAAGGTCAAGCTCGTAGCGGAGCTGATGACGATCCTATAACAGGCAAAGGCAGGCAAGCCGAGTGTTAGCTGGCCGCAGCTCGTGGCAAAGGCAAGGCGTCTGGTTTGCGTTGGGCAGTGGGGCGAGCCCCCCGTCTTACGATTCACAGCTGCAGATACAGATGAGGTCGCAGCGAGGATGGAGAAGCAGCAGTAGTAGCAGTGTGCGGGTCATGGAGATGTGGTGTGGAATCGGGGATCTGGGCTGCGGATAACGATAGGGATGGGGATGGTGGAGGGAGCGATAGGGGTCGAGGAGCGGCGCACCTGAGCGTCTTGGGAGGACAAGGCAGAGCTGTCGGCGCCGAGAAAGCCTCGGTTTCTCCGCCCAGAGCTGGTGCCCAGATTCAAAGGCATTGGCCGTGAGACTCGCTGCTCAGGCGTGGCACCCAAGCAGACAGACGGGCAGAGGAGGGTTGCAGCAGCTGATGGTGTGCTTTCTGCTGCTGAGAGTGAGATAGTTTCTGGCTGTTGTTTCGTCTCGTCTCCCTGTTTTCCGGGTCTCTTCTCTCTGTCGTTGATCCCCCGTGCTGTCTAAGCGGCTTCAGCCAAGAGACAGAGCTCCCAAGGGGGGAGGCGAGGAAACGGCAAGAGACGAGTGTCGCTGGGACACGGGGCGCGAGAGGCAGAATCGACGTGATGCCAGCGGCTGGCTCATTACGGAAGACAAAATTTGGCGTTAGCATCTCATGGCGGCGCAGCAAGATTGAGACTGGGTGAGTGAGTGAAGCAGCGAGAGAGAAGGTGAAAAAGAAGGGCGGACGGGAAACGGCGTTGATAAGAGGGCGGGAACGGGAGCGAGGTGAAGACGGAGAGAAGAAAAATCGACGGGGCGGCGGCAAGGCAGAGAATAGCAAAGGGAAGACGATTAGAACGAGGGCGAGCGGGCAGGAAGTGGAAGTGAGCTGGAGGGCAGAGACAGAGAACTGGAAGCCATCGCAGCCTGTGTTAGAGAGCTACGCGGTTTGCAGCAGCAGCGCCAGGCGTGGCCCAGGTATTGGAGCATTACTGGGAAGCAGGAGGGAAGGTATTACTATCAGTAGCTGCCAAGCTTAGGATTGCTTCTGAGGCTGAGGACGGGCAGGGCAGGCACAGCGTCTGGCGACTTCCAACTTCTAGGTAATGAAGCACTTGTACGCTTTGGACGCTCGGTACCACATCTTGCGCCAGGGGGAAACGGGTTCGTGCTAGGACGGCCCGCGGGTGGTAATTACCTGATACCTGGGTCTACTGCTTCTGCGACCACACACTCCGAGTAGCAGCTGATAGTGACTGGCGTACCTTGTTAGGTCTCTCACGAGTGTCCAATGTCCGGGGGCGACCTCGATTGAGAGCTTACATCTGCAGATGCCCACAGCTCTGCTGCTTCAGTCACCCTCTGCTGAGATCAAGCAGAAAAAGGGTCCTCCGTGCTTCGTGCTACTACTAGGTAGCATTGCGACTCTGAGGTAAGGTAGGTATGGGGACGGAATCATTAGCCTATTCCCACTTTATTTGCCAGCCAAGCGCGATTCCAGACTCGGGGACGAACCGTGACTTTACTCTACGGATACACGGGCTAGGCATGGCAGCGAGAGGTGATGCTACGGCGAAGACGGAGTACGGCTCGATTGGGTCCGATTGGGTTTCGCAATCGAAAGCAGAGCAGTCACTTCTACTGTCTCTACCTATGCCGCTCCTGACATGTTCCCATCAAGCGCATCGACCTTGCTTCCACACCACCCTTCCACGATGAGCCAAGACAACCAAGAAGCAAGAGGAGAATCATAGGCAAGAAACAGCCATATCAGAATGTCATCGTCACACAAGGGCGGGGGTCCGGCAACGCCTACCGCCATCAGAAACTCATGGCTCGGACAACTCAAGCATCAGATCGTATCAACCAAGGCCGTGAATCCGTGGCTTCCACGCCATCACGCCGCCGCCCACGCTAAAGCATGGGCATCGACGTGACCGGCCAGAGGTGTCAGGGAGAGCACGTGGTGGCCGGCGCTGGAGACGGTTCCTGAAGACAGGTGGGGGAGCGCCGAAAGGTGGCTGTCGCGAGTGAAGAATCCCTGGACTGCCGTACCGTCCTAACGGCGCCAGCCCGCCAGCCGCTAAGCACTTGCTCGTGGGCCCAGCAGTGGCCATTAACAACAGCCGGCTGCCCTCTGTTGCTCTCCTCTCGCCAGGCTGCTTGACTTTCGCTGTCGATGGCCTCTTCTAGGCCTTGGCTAGGGTGGGTGGTCCTGTCGCGAAGCACGTTATGGGAGGGTCTCGGGGCTGAAGCGAGCAGGCTCTCTGGTCGCATCGTGCCGTCGCATTCGAGCGTTGTCGAGGGAGGATGGACAGGAGAGGAGAGGAGGACGGATGCAACAGACGTCTTGGACAATTCGACGAGTACAGGTACGGTCGCAGCAGTGATGGCATAGAATGGCACACGGCGCACACAGCTGAACTCCAGGCCCCAGAGCCATGCCCAGCCACTTGCGACTCTGGAGTGCTGCAGCAGCCCTCCATTCCGGATGGATCTGGACTGCCGCACGCTTCCTCTCTTCTGGCTTGTTCTACCTTTGTCTCATTCTGCCCGTCGCCTTTCCTGAGCTGCCATGCCGCTGCTGGGAGATGGGATACCCGGGCTCGCCTCTTGGGTACAGTTACGAGTTCAGATGCCGTTCCGAGAGCCCGGCCCCCAACCCGCAAAGACCTCTGGTGGTGGACGGCATGATGGCGGCTCACTGGCCAATCAGAGTGCCGAATTGCTCCCCGTGCACGCTACGTTCGCTTCCAGTGGAGCGGCTCTTCAGCCTCTTCCGAGAGACACAAGCGACTAGCGTGAGCAGCAACTTCAGCAGCAGCAGCAACCTGATGTCGACCTGGATGCTGTGCTTTCTTTTACTTTCTTACCACAACTGGAGATGCGCTTGAGGGAGCGCTCGGCTGCCTTGTGCCGCATCGCGCCAAAGCCGTCGCAGCTAGACGCCTGATCGTCTCTTACAGACGCCTCACATGCCGGTTCATGAGGTCACGCCGCAACGTATCTATATGGTGTGCTGCTAGCCGGATTGCCCAGACAAAGTTCACCTTGTACTTGGAATATGTCGTTTGGTGCCAACTTTGAGCCTACGGCTTTGCGTCGGCGTCCGGACGACCGTGAACCGAGCAACATGGGGGGCAACCTGGTTGAAGATTGGGGTTGCTGCTGGGTCGCGGGCTTGTGTCTGGTTCCACGCAGGCTGCAGCTCCCCAATTCCGGTCCTTAGCTTCAAGCAATGCACTGTCACCATCTATCGGCAACTTCACCATAGCACTCGTGCGTTGGGTTTGCAGGCGAGCTCTACCAAACGGGTTTTCTGCATCATCGCGGCTGCGGACCGAGACAGGGGGCAGGAAGGAATAGTCCTAAGAGAGCGTCCCCAGCAGGCCAATATTGCTTTGTGATTGGAGATACTCGATTCCCTCCAGCCGTATGTCTGTACTGTCTCAGGCAAGACGTGCAGAACCCGAGCCGTTGCTGGAGCTGTAGTGACGACGCATCAGCAGCAGCCCCGCGAGAAACAGTGCAAGCGTAGGTACGGCTAAGGGGAATCTTCCTTTCATTATCTTGCTTTTTCATCACCGTTATTACCAACTCTCCGGCTCAAGCCACGGGAATTGCACATGTATAGCGTGCAACGAAGTAGGTATAGCGTACGAGTGCTATTACTGTGGTTAAGTCCTCGCAGTTTATACCATCTAAACTGCCAGACGGCAAATATCTGGTGCTAATAGTAAGGGCTTTTAGTAGCTTGAACCTTGTCTTATCCACCTGCAGCCGGACGTGGGACTCGACCCAGAGCTAAGGCAGTTCGTACATGTACAAGTCGCAATTCCCGTCCTGGACCCAAGAGCCTCCCACGCTGGCCGTATCCAGTACTTGCACGAGGGTCCAGGGAGTTTGTCCAGACACTGCAGCAGCAGTTGGTTAGAGGTACCTGCTACCTCAACCGACCTCAGCACTCCAGGTAATAAAATGGATGCAGCCGAGAGGCAGGAACCAGCTCCCAAGATGCGTTGCTACTTTTTGCGTCTGCTTCCTCTACATGTCCTGACATCTTCTCCTTGTCCCTTTTCCCCAATCCGCCCATAAGCAGCATCGCCATTGTCGTCTTGCTGCCCTTCTCCCGCTGCTAATCTTCGTGGCCCCTCTTCCCGTCTCCTCCACCCTCTGGAGCTGGGGCATGGCGACAACGACTCCTCGCACCCGTCCAGACTCAGCCCGTGACGGCGCCGTAAGCCATACCGTGCCGCCAGCCTCTCCTCGCTCCGTAGCCAGTGTCATGATAGCTTCGCCAACGACGCCCCAGCCCGCGGATCGCAGTCGTCTCCGGTGACTCTGAGCGCCCGTCTCCCCCTCAGCCGGCTGCCGCAGCATCCCAGCCATGGCCGCCTCGTCCTCGTCCGGCTCCTCCTTCACATCCTCTTCTCTCGGCCGGCCGCCCACCTACAGCCGCTCCTATGTCAGCCCCGTGGACTCGACCTGGACGCAGACGTCCGAAATCTCGACAATTTCGGCCACCTCCACCAGTGAGTCCGTCGTCCCCGCGGCCTCGCTCCGGCCTCTAGACCTCGGCCCTCCGGGCTATACTGCCACAATGTACGATGAGCTCCTCTGTGATGCCCCTCGCTTGCAGGGCTTTCTTCCGTTCCGTCTGCGTTGCAAGTCCAGTCTGACATTATCTGTCTCTTTCTCTTCCTCCTCTTCGATATAGAACGCTTTTCCAAGACACTCCCGACGAACGGACTGTCTATCTGGGACCCTGGGAGGTGGTAGGGTCTGAGCAGCGACGCATCCGCTGGCAATGCAGCTACCAAAGCGAGCTTCTCGAACACTTTTGTAAGTGCCCAGCAGAAACCCGTTGTCAACTCTTGCTGTTGAATCGTTTTGCTATTCCCTTGTTTCTGTACACATGCTTCCTCCACTCTTTGCTCTTCCCCCTACCCTTGTCGTGCCAAGCCTGAGCTCATGAGTCGTCAAGTGCCCTCAGATATACCTTCAGATATCCATCCTCACACCCTTCACTCTCGACATCGCCAATTCAATGATCCGTCGGACATGGAACGCTTCCTCTCCTTCAACGACCCTCACCGCATCAGATACACCACGGGCGAGGGCATCTGCATCCACGACCAGTTCATCCCAGTCAGGTACGAGTTCACCACCGTCGAGGCTTCCATTCAGTTTCAGGGCGACTTGCGCATGAAAGATCTCGTCGACTTTTTCGACGTCGACGTCGTTTGGTCCAATCTTCAGAGCCGAACCGATAGTTTCGGCAAGGTCAAGGGCATCGGAGCCATTCAGCGGCTCAAGCTCTGGAGGGACCGATACACCACCTTCCACTCCTTGACCGTGTTGGCAAACAAGACGGACCACCAGTACCGCGAATATGACATTCATCACTTCGAGGGCGAGCTCCGGAACCGAGACGACCGCACGAAAACCCTCCGTCTCAACGTCCACGGCCGACGAGGAAGCGCGCCCGACGAAGCTCCGTCACGCCGAACCTTTCGCATCCGCCAACGGGTCCGATCCGCCGGCCAGGCCAGCCGGGACAGTCCCGAGCTAGGCCCGTCATACACAGCCACCGCCCCGGATATTCGCTACCTCTCTATCCAGTTCACGCATAAGCGAGGTAAGACGGAAAGGAGATTCCGAATTGCAGAAGTTGGGGTCTTTCAGGAAGCAGACATCTGACGCAGAGCATGGCAGACTACAAGCGATTCATCGAGACTTGGGTCTACGCCCACAGCTCCGACCGAGAATTCAATGGCGTCCCGTTTCCTCCCAACCACTTCGAACTGCCCTCGCCAGAAATCCTTGCCGGCCAAAGTGCCGATACTGGTTGAGCCATGAGTATTTGGCAAGCTCGCAGTCTGTTACGTTGTTTTTTGCCCAGCCGGCTTGAGTGAGGCGGAAGTACGCCCTAAAACCGGCCGGCATTGGCTCTGCAGTCTTTTTTTACGGCCATTTGTGACTCCGGGGAAGAAGTTATAGAACAATTCTGTACCCTCTTAACCCCCCCGGATCTGTTCCTGTTCAGGGCCTCCCGGTGCCCTCTTTGTCAGCCCGGGCGCCACTATCAGATCCGGCTGAATTGAGGACGTCACCAAGGGCCGATTTGCATGGCGTGGCGTGAGCCCCGTCTATCATTGGCCCCCCCCACCACACCACCAAAAGCCCCCGCGATCATCAGGCCATGACTATCGTCAGTGTCGTCATAAGCAACCTCGTCCGTTCTGCAGCTGTCGGCCGACTTTCTCTCACCATATTTGCACATCTAGTTTCCCTCTATACATCTCGGCGGGAGGGGCCAGAAGCGATCGCATTAAAAAGACAGAACCAGGGCATCAGACCTCCAGCCTTCTCAAGACGCTGGCATCCCAAGTTTATTCACTATCACAGCTACCTACTACGCAGTTACCTCCTCCCAACCCACTCACAAGAGCAGAGTAAAGAAGCAGCCGGTCGTTATCACGAAACTGTTGTCGCTTCCAGATCTACAGTTGCTTACTCTCTCTATTCATCTCATACACACACAAACACTGCCCGTCATGAGGGTCATCCTCGCCATCAACGCCGGCTCCAGCTCGGTCAAGATATCCGTCTATCTGGCCGACAAAGGAACAACGCCGCGCCAGATTGCCGAGTCTCAAGTGAGCGGTCTTACGGCTCCGCCAGCTAAGCTGAAATATACGCGAGGCGGCGAGACCATCATCAAAGACCAGGACGTGGACGATGCCGTCAACAGCCAGGACGACGCCTTCGCTTTGCTGCTCAAGACGTTGGTAGACGATGCTGAATTGAAAGAGATCAGCTCCAAGTCCGACGTGGCCATTGCCTGCCATCGTATCGTCCATGGCGGCGACTACAGCGAGTCCCAAATCATCACTCCAGACACATACAATCAGCTAGAGATCCTCAGCGACCTTGCTCCCTTGCACAACGGTGCCGCGCTGGCAATTGTCGACTCTTGCATGAAGCAGCTCCCCGACGCCCTCAACGTCGCTTGTTTCGACTCCCAGTTCCACTCGACGATACCGCCGCACATCTCCACGTACCCGATCGACCCGACAATAGCCAAGAAGAACGGGTTACGCAAGTACGGCTTCCATGGCATCAGCTACGCCTTCATCTCCAGATCCGTCGCCGACTTCCTTGGCAAGAATCTCGATGAGCTCAACATCATTACCCTGCATCTCGGCAGCGGAGCCAGCGCCTGCGCGATCAAGGGAGGCAAGAGCTGGGACACCAGCATGGGCTTGACTCCGTTGGCCGGGCTCCCTGGCGCCACCCGCAGTGGCAGCGTAGATCCAAGGTGAGCCAAGATTGTCCACCATGTCGAAGTAACAGGGCTGACGGAGATTACAATCAAACAGCTTAGTTTTCCATTATGCCAGCGACGTAGGCAAACTCTCGCCCGCTGCCACCGAGAAGCTCCACATCTCCAGGGCCGAAGAAATTCTCAACAAGCAGAGTGGCTGGAAGTCCCTGACGGGCACCACGAACTTTGGCACCATTGCCGCCTCAGACGATCCTCAGCACCGCCTTGCCTTTGACCTGTTTGTGGACCGCATCTGCGGCTTTGTGGGGAGCTACTACGTCTCGCTGAGAGGCCAGGTGGACGCCATCGTCTTCGCGGGAGGAATTGGCGAGAAGAGCGCCCGGCTTCGCAGTGCCGTGGTGGATCAATGTGGCTGCCTGGGCTTTGCCATTGACGAGGCGCGGAACAATGCCGAGGGCGATGCAACAGTATGGGATATAGGCAGCAAGGACTCGAAGCACCACGTGCTCGCGTGTCACACGGACGAGCAGTTCGAGATGGCCAGGGACTGCACAGACATGCCCGCGCTTTGGAAATAGCAGATGGAACTCGAAGCCTTTCTCTTGGATGATAGATGTCTAGAACAGGGGGTGTATATACCAAAGAGCCAGCGTATGTTAGCGGAATGAGGTTTCTCATGTCTTAAGTCGGTCGATCATAAGGGTGAAGAAAGAAATCATGGCCGAATGGCTATTCATTCGCTTTAGACAAAACTATACGGTTGAATCATTCTACAACTCCAGCATTCTACAACTCCAGAGTAACAAGCACAATTGCGTGCGTTCTCACCGATAGCAAGGCACATGGCAAGACACAGAGCACAGAGACACGATGCGTAGGAACAAAGTTTACCAAGAAAAAAGTCAACAGTGGTATCAATTAGCAACCCAACCCATCCATCCCAAGCTCCCAGAAAATAAGACTCAAGCGAGCTGCCGTTTGTATATATACAGCCATTAGCACGCCACTCACGCGCACGATCCAACCTCCCCAAATCTCGACCCTATTTTGTTTTTCCCAATGCGCGCAATCACGTCTAAAGGGGAAGATTTGTACCGCCCAAACGCCTTGATATACATAAGATGGAGCCTGTCTTCCTTCTCGCTCGCCCAACCGCCCGAGGCCGCAGAAGATAACTGCACAGCGTTCCCCCCCCCCTCCAATCTCAGCAGAGATGTTTCGTGTGCATGAAAGCATGGGATATCAAGAAGCGCAAGGTAGAAAGCAGATACCCTGACCCAAGGAGAGGAAAAAACCAGTTAAGAGCCCAGATAGTGGTAGGCAAGGAAAAGGGTGGGAAGTGGTGGAGTAAAGAAAAGTAAAAGACAACCCAAGGCGCCATTCGTGTATCTTGCGACCTTTTTCCATATAAGATGCCTCCCCGTATGCCGCCCAGCCGTAGCTTCATAGGTGCTCAATGTTTCCATATAGGAGAGTTTGTGTGAGGGATAGCAGAAGGAGAGGATATGTGAATGTTTCAAATAGAAGATGAATGAGAAGGAGAGCAAAGGAAACGAACAAAAGAATAGAAAAAGAAAATCAATCAAAGCATGGCGATGCCACAGTGCAAATCGCATCCAAACGCCGTTGACGCCAAGCCGACAGTGCCCCGCTGCCCCTGTTCGTATGTGTAGTACCGAAGGTGCCCCGTTGGTTGCCTGGAGGAGATATTCATGAGGTGTTTTTGTACCGTAGAATAACCAAAATCAAAGCTTCGTTGTGGCCTCTTTTTCTGATATTTCGTGGTGTTGCAGTTGGCGGGACATTAGAAATTATATGGTCCTCTCTCGCTTCTTTGCTTTTTTTTTCTTATGTGATTGTCGGTGACGATTATTGTGCTCTTTCTTGGTTTGCATGGTCCAAGGGTGGTTGAGATAAGGAGAGGAGAGCAAAGCAAAGGAGGAGCTGCGATTCATCGCTTCTCAGAGTCCTCGACCTTCGCGGCAATCCATCTCCACAGCCATGGCCAAAGTTTCGAGGCCGCTGGGCATGCGACCGACGGCAGAGGGACGATTGAGCAATGGAAGCTCAATACCGCCCATGCCAGGCTCCCAGTCGCGGGTTGGCTGCGAAAGCGGAGACGTCGGCGAGAGGCTCTGCTTCTGGCGAAGCTCGCTCTCGTCCCAGAAAACAAAGGAGTCAGGCCCGGTTGTGGAGGACATGCTCCGGCTGGATGCGGTCGAGCTGCGGCGCGCACTGGAGGCCAGAGAGGCCTTGCTGGTGCGGTGGCTGCCCGACGAGCTTCGGGTCTTGTCCTTGAAGTGGGTTTCCAGATGCTGCTTCATGTTGTCGGCTCTGGTGAACTTCTTGTGGCATCCCGGGTATTGGCAGTGGACCGCCTTTTCCGCCGTGTGGATCTTGGAGTGGCGAGAAGCGTGGCCCGAGGTGGTGAAGGTCTTTTCGCACCCATGGAGCTCACGGTAGCGGCAGGGATAGCGCTTGACGGGGCGCTCGGGGACACAAGACGCGGCGGAGCTGTCCTCTTCGCCAGAGGCTGGGGGGCTGCAAGGCCCGTAGGCAGGGCGCTTAGTGGGAGGGCCTTCAGCGTACTCGCGCCCAAAGGCGTAGGTCATGGGCCGCACGCTTCCGTAGTAGCTGTCCCCCGGGGGTGTCAAGGGCGAGATGGCGGCTTCGCTGAGCTGAGAGTCGAAAGAGTCCGATCGGAGGAGTGCAGGAGTGTTTGGTAGCGAAGAGTCGCTGCCGGCATAGTGCTGAGATTGCGCTGTCGGCCAAACGAAGGCCGAGTGGCGAGCAGTTGCCCCAGTCATCTCGTCATCGTTGAGCAGAGAGACTCTGCGGCCTCTGGCGTCGCTGCCGTGCATGGTGACTGAGGAGTTTGTCGGGCTGTGGTGAAGGAATATAGAGAGAAGAGGAATCGGAGGGCGCGGTGGTCTGCTTTATGCCGCGCGCAGTCGCCGGAATTGTAGAAGCCAAACTTAAGACAATCCGATGGAGAGCTTGCCGCTGGAAGTGACGAGATGGTGTGTATCAGGAACCACGCAGCTTCGATTCGCCGGTGGAAAGACTGAGCTGAAGCTTCAAAATTTGAGGCCGGAGAAAAAAAAATATGATGGGCGCAAAAAAATCGAGATTGCCTCAGATTGCAATTTTGTGTTTGTCTGAGATTTCGCTTAATATCGTTAATGACGAGGGCAAGAGCGGTTGTGGCTGCAGCAGGCGCAATGCGGAAAGAAACGGCAGTTGCACGCGAATTGGGGTCGAAAGAATCAGACAGTAGCTGGACGCTGTTTTGTTTGCTCGCTGATTTGCGTGTGTCTTTTCGTTGTTTTTTCTTTCTCCTGTTCTTTGCTTGCTATGAATATGCAGCGCTGAGATCAAGGCAACTTTGAATGACGGCTCTTGCGATGCGCGCTAAGCCTTGGGCCAACGGGGTGTGTGGTGACAGATGGAATCTGTGATGGCGCCGACTTGGAAGCTGGGATATGCACGTTTGCCGCTGGTGGTTCTCGCCAAAGCAGTGGCTGGCAAACGAGAGACGGGAGACGGACGGAAGAGACAGACGCTATGCTGAGATCTGGCGCGAGGCAGAAGCAGCAGCAGGAACAACAAGTCGAGTGCGAGTGTAAGAGATGCCGCCTAGTGCTAAGACAGGTAGCTTCTTAGACAGGTAGGGCGAGCTGGAGAGAAGAATGGCGCAGAGAGAGGTGGGAGAAGATGGAAGAGGCTTCGAGGCAAAAGGGAAAAGGAAGCTGGAGGGGAAGAAGAAGGACGGGCGCAGAGAGGGAGGACCTGGAGGTTTTGTTCAGAGCCGGAGAGGCGCAACGGGAGCATCCAGGCCATCCCACCGATCGAGGGATCGAGAAAGTACAAAGCCGACATGCCCACTTTGCTCCGTAATCTGTGCCCGTCCTGGTACCGCGCAGACTTGCCTTAGCCTTCCATGGCCCCAGCCCAGTACTTCGCACACACCAGCCATCCATGGCGGCGGCCCCAGGGGACTCCATACCTCTAAAGTGCTAAGGCACTGCTTGCGAACTGTGCAGGTCCTACATTGCACCAGAACTCGGGAAAAAGTCTTGGGAGAGAAAGAGAAGAAGAAGAGTCTCTGCTATCAGGGAGTAATATCAGGATTCTTCCCTTCTCAAAGCTCAAGTTTTGCTCTCTTTTCCTTCCTCTTCTTGCGTCTTCTCTGTGACTCTTCGTGAGCCCTGCAAAGCTGCATGGAGAGCAAAAGTTGCAGTGGCCCCGGGCGCTGGAGCTGCGGGTACAGGGGGGGGTCCCCCTAGAGGGCTCCAGCGAGCCTTTGGTGCTGCGTGGTAGGGCCACAGAAGGCCACAGAGGGCCACAGGCTGGTGCTGGTGCCGGGCAGGGAACCAGGGTCCGGCAGGGGAAGGAGAGAGGCGGGGCCTCAGGCTGGGAGGGGGGTGTGGACCTGCGCTGTTGGAGGGGAGGGGACGCCTGGAAGAGGAGAAGGAGGGGAGCGGCATGCGGTCACCCTGGAGTACCGCGGCGTGGGCGGCCATGTACCTTTCGGAGCAGTGACGGAACCGTGTCTGAGGAAGAATCAAGGTGCGAGCCTCGTGTGGCTTGAACGCGCACGCTGACGATGACAGGCGTTGCCCGGGTTGTGATACCTTGAAGGTGTATCACCGCCAATTGATGCGAGCCTGGGGTAAGCTGCAAGGGAGACTCTCGCTTCCTGCTCTGCTGTCTCTATTACTGCTGGCTCTCGTATTGGTATCTACGTTTTCGTTCTTATAGAGGAGCTGCTTCATCACTCCCCTCGGTGGCTTCAAGTTGAACCCATCTGGCCATAGAGGTCCTCGCGCCACTGCGCCGCCGTCACCACTTGGGGCTTGACCGTTGAACTTTAACTGGTACCACCGCGATACCTGGCTTGTACGAGTACGTTCCTGCTTTAGACTTTCGCTGCTCTGCTCCTCTTCTCGTGCCTCTTCCATTCAACTTCCAGCTCTGTTCCCTCTCCTCCCATCTGCATCCCCGTGCTTGGCCCGACCACACGTGCATGCGCCGCTGTGCCCGCCTTCTGTCTCGCTTGGGCCTCGAGGTGCAGCCGGTGAAGATCGTGCCTCTTTAGCGCCACTTGGAGTTGCGTTGAGGCCACAAGCGGGAGACGATGCAGGCAGATGCAGACAGACGGCGGAGGTGGACTCAGGGACTGCTTCAGACAGAGAAGCAGCATGCAGGTATCGATGGGTATGATAATTGTGTCTCTCGCTTCTTCGCTTCGTTCCTCCTTTCTTTTCTCTTTTTCACAAATCTTCTCAAAGTTCAGCCACTCCGCTCTCTCTGGGCCCGTGTCTCGCTGTCCGCCGATATGGTAAGCCAACCTCATGTCCGATGTCCCTGCGCGCGCTTCAGCCACGATACTTTGGCACCAGGCTCATCGCTTTCGCCCTAGCACCTTTTGACGTCGAAAACTAAAGCCTCGCGGTGGGCCTCTTCTGCCCCCAAATGGGGACCCTCTTTTCTCCTTCATCGGTTTCTTCTCGTCCTTCTCTTCTGGCGTCTGGCCAAGGGCTGCGGCCGGAGGGCTGGCAGAGACAAGCCAGAGACAACACGTTCCTTGGGCGCTGCGGCGCCTGTACGCACAAGCACCGAATCAACGCTCCTGGATGACCCTCAGCAGCGGAATCTCGATTGCAGACTCTCTACGACACGACCCGGTGGATCACAGGGCCCTTGTGCTCCCCTACAGGCACTACGGACAAGGTACGAGTACAGGGAACGCTGGTGTTCAATGGACTGCACTCTGAATGGTTGACGTCACAATGGTAAGCCGAGGGTCACGTCAACTCGACTGTTCCGACCCTGAGACCCATTAAGCGTCTCGCGTGTCCCATCAACCCAGAGAGCAGCGCCGCTCCCCTTCTCGGCGCAATCTCGACATGGAAGGAACAGAAGCCATGCGGAACATGACAAGGTTGCAAAGCTCGACGGGGAAAGAGAAAAGAAGAGGGACCCGGAAGACATTTGCATTACACGGGACTATTATGGAGTCCTTTTCTCGACCTGCTGATGTATACGATTCGTACTACCAAGACTGGCACGGCACGTTTACGGACAATGAGCCAGCCGGTCAACGAAGAACGGAACGCATTGCCATCAGCAGATACGCAGCATTTCTCCGTTATCTGTTCTGATACAGACTCGGTCCACGATGGCCGTTTTGAAGGCACGGCAAAGTACGCGCATCAGCTTGAAACAGGCACAGGTTGGAAGCACCCCGGACATCGTCCACGCGCTTACAACCCTGATGTAAACGCCAAGGCTAAGCTTCAGCTCTTGCTGACTTGCGAGCGTGTACATGTAAGAAGTACTCGTGCTAACAGGCAACAGCCCTGCTCCAACAATCGCGATGTGAATCTGTGCATACTTATATACCCACAATACACACTTCAGCCGACTATCAAACAGCATCCCCTTCCGCGGCCGGCAAGGACATTCGAGCACTTTTGCAACTCGATCGCGGCGCCGCGGATAGAAATTTGCAAATCATGTCCCAAGTCATCGCCATCGGGGACCATGCGCAATTTGAAAACGCGGTGTTTCTGGCCAGAAAGCGCATCGTCGAGGCATCGCTCAGCCACTTTGACCTCATGGTGTCGTCATCGCAGCTTGTGGATAGGCCTTAGAGGGACCGGAGCAACAGGACCAAGTGGAAGGTCGGCGCCATACCCACAACAGCTTCGGATCCCATCTTTCGCAGGGGTGCAGTGACAGCCGGCTCGAGGTCGAATGAAGGAAGAGACGGACAGCCCAGGGACAGGGGACCTGCAGGTTTCCTGTACTCGCGGGTACAAGCATGGCACGGGGCTTGAGTTTGAGCTCGCAGGCGTCCCTTCGAGAAGATGGAGAGGCCCAAGTTCTCCTCAGGTCCCCAGTACGAACAGCAGGGGCCGCCTATGTCCTGGAAAGGGGAGCGGGGACTGGCGCAAGGGCTGGCAGAGCTAGCGCCATCCAGGGTCGTTCGCATTGCAACGGAGGCGCCGCAGCGAGAGCCAATGATCGGGAAGATCGAGCAACTGTCCAGCGCAGGCTGCATGGCTGCGGATCTCCTGGGACGTCCGGAGAAGGTTCCTAGCAACCCTGAAGGTACCTGTGGGCACGGCTCCAGCACACCCCGCTATGCGAGTACTTCCAGGTATCGGCCTTGCTATGGAGCAGGTACCCAAGCTCCAACTCCAAGGGTACATACATACGCTCTGACTGCTTCGCTCATGGGTTTCTCAATGCTACTCCGCAGCGTCCGAACGTGTTGCTTCCGCCGGGTTCTCTGCTTGGGTTTTGAGAGATACTATGTATATGGAGTACCTGGGAATGCGACTCGAAATTGGAGTGCAATGTCGTGTACAGTATGAAGGAGCAGAGAATAGCCAGAATCTGGCGATAGACGGACCCCGCGGAAGGCCAAGGCACCCTAGCCACAAGTCTGCTGTGCGGCGCAAGCCAATGAGACGAAATCAAAGGTTGTGTGCCGCACGCAGAACACCAAGAACCATCTCAGCAATTGGGCTACCAGTGTTGGTACTTGGCGATGGCGACCATGATACCCACGGTGAGCTCGATGATACTTGATAACGACTACCACAACAGTCGGATGGCGACGGCGCAGCACGACATGAGCAAAACCCGATGCTACTTGGACGATACTTGATCCCCCCTTCGTCCGCTTGCGCTGCGAAGCGCATCCGTGCGCTAATGCCTTAGGTCCGTTGGGATGAGCAAGAGATGCGATTCTTGGAGGAACATGCGGTTTCTCAGTTGGTGCCAGATTTGCCCCCTCTCAAGAGCTCCGAAAGTTTTACATGTCGTTGCTCGCTGTTGTGTTGCTGCGCCCTACTAGGTAGAGTTGCAGTGCATTGGCGCATCTCACTCTTCTCTTCATTTGCCTGTGCTTCTTCCCAGTTTCTACATGAGTTCGACCTGCCCACATGGCAAGTGAAGAAATACCGGGCTGACGAGGCGATCAAGGGGGGTTCGATGCTCATCCAATTTTGCTTGAAGAGTTGAAGAGCACAGGCACAGTGTTGATACCGCCCCCGGCTTTTATTTTTAGGAGCAATCATCAGGGTCCTGCCGGTCTGCTTGTCCCTTTCCAGCACTGCGGGCTGGTACAAGGGCTTACGGTTCTGCGCGCTGCAGACACACAAGCATTTGGAAGACTTGGTACTTGATACTTAGTACCTTGACCCTCCATGATGGTGACGCCTCGTCTACAGATGCGGAAGGGACTCTCCGGGCCAGCGCCCGGCAAGGTTCTCGGTTTCTGTCGTGTGGCTTGCCCCGGGCTTGCACCAGGCAATAGTCTACCACGGTTCCGGAGCAGAGTGCGAAGCTCGTGTGATTGGATGCTGGACACATTGGCATTGCAAAGACGAACAAGGTCTGGAAAGTATGTTTACATGTCCGGTCGTGGCAAACCACCAAGGGCCAGGTTCCAACGAACGAGGAGAAGCAATATCAGAGAGATGAGAATAGCAGAGAAGAGGGAGAGCAACGAACAGAGACCGGTGAAGGAGAAGGGAATGCAAACGTCACCAGAACATCAAGACCTCAAGAAAAACCCTGCCCCTGCTATCGAGTCGATGGCGGATATGATGAAGGGCATGAGAGAATGGTGACAGAATGGACAACACAGAAACGGCATCTAATAGCCGTTTAACCAAGGGGCAGCGGCGAAGACCAGTGGCATTCTCGGGGCCACGCACGCCGGAGGCGATTTGCTAGCGGCTTCGGTTCTGCATTGATTACTGGGTCGCATCAGCTGTTCGCCAGCAGAGAAGTACGGGCGCCTTCCATAGTACAGGTTCTGTGGTGATACTGCCTTCAAATATGTCGCACGGCGTTTGGGTCGTACGAGTCGTTGATAAGTCCTTACACATGTACAAGGGCCTTGAGGGCTTGGGTTTGGGTTTGGGTTTGGGTTTTGGGGAGCTGTGGCTGATGAGGGGTGAAGTTGTTAGTGGGCACGTTCTTGCAGGAGGCGGCGGCGGCGACACGGTTTGGTTCCTAGAGGCACAGGGCACTTGACGAGGCGGGACGAACATGAGGGCTTCTTAGTGGAAGAGAGGAACACGTTCCGAGGTTCCGCAGTTGGAGAAGCGGCACACACGCAGGTCTGGGGAGATGCTAGCATCCATGAGGCGAAGAGCAGTGCTCACAGGTACGAAGCACTGCAAGTACAGGTGCACTGAGACCAACACACGAGCTACAAACAGGGCTGAGGAGGGGATTTGATGCAGTACGATATGCGTATCAGAGCATCATGGTCTGATGAGCTTGAGAGATCGAACGACAGAGTCATATTCCTTCGAAGAGATCCATGGAGGATCATAATAAGCTCGATTACTCTGGGGAAATGGTACGTAAGATCCGCGGAATCAAAGAGAGGGAACCGCGAGCACCAGCAAAAGGGAAGGCCGAGGAGGGGCAAGATAAGAGAGACGACGACGTAGCCGATCATTGCCAGGCCAGGCTAGCCTATGGCTTGCATCTCTAAAGGTACGCACTCATCTGCACTTGCCGGCTACTAACCTATTGCTATTCTCCCATATGGGAACCACGGCAGCTACGGGCTTCGTGTGCTTGCTCGCTTGATATAGTACCTTTCATGATAGCTCCCGGGCGAGCTGTGTCTTGATAAGAAGGAGTACGAGAGGGAAAGAGAGACGGATTCTCTGGAATATGCAAGCCCAGAGTTTGTTCTTGCATCGTGGCCCACCGCACCTTCCGTGCTTCCTAACCTTCTCTGCCTAGGGTAGGTACGAAGCTCGAAGCATGAAGGTACGAGGTACTGCATGTGCTACGACGCGACGATGTTGGCAGGGACTCCGCATTGCTCCTTCCTGCTGCCTGGCATCTGGCGAACTAATATTTACTAACACGATGCGCCTCCAAACTTTGCTGCCCTCCTTCTCATACTAGCTCTTCGTCCAAGGAAGGCCCTGAGCCGGGGAAGCCACGATAGTGCACAAGCTTGCAAATGGACTTGTTTTAGCGAACTCGGGCACGTTTTGCTTCATTGTCCCGTCTGCTTTCGTTATCCCCTTTCAATCTCCGGGCCGGGGCAGCCTTTGCGTGCATTAGGGCCTGTCAATACCCTTTGCTTGATGCTGGGTGTTTGACTTGACTGCTGTCATTCTACGAGCACTGCTTCGTTTGCTTACGGGCCTTTTACTCCCATGTGCTGCAGCATGGGTTGGATTTCAGCCACGGAGAGAGGAAACAGATTGGCTCAGCCCGCAGCGTTCAGGCTTTGTCAGGCACATGCATGTCGACATGGAGGAAAAGTCAAAACCTCTCATTACTGCTTGCTCGGCGACAGCCCAAAGGGGGCGTGCATACTACGGGTCTGTACGACGCGCAAGGATCGAATCTGTGGACCGAAGAAGAGAAAAGAACAACCAAGACAGCAAAGAGAAAGCCGTGCAAAAAGAAGGGTCAAAAAAGCGGCCCCCTTTTGGAAGAAAACGAAGAAAAGGTTCCTCTTCACAGAAGTGATGACGTTTCCTTGACTTGGCCAGCTCTGTCGATCACCCAAGCTTTTTCACCCCCGTTGTTTCGCTCTCCACGCGCGCATGGGCTGCGAGGATCTCGACTTTTGCGGAGGGATCGCTGGAAGACAGACAAAAAAAAAAAAAAAAAAAGAGTGCTTGGTCCCAGCGAGAATGGGCCAGCAGAGAAAGAGGAAAAGCCGCTTGACCGTTTGACCGTCCTTCCCCCGGACCCCAAAAGCCCTGGGCGTCGCTCCGCCTGACCCCACATGGGCCATGAGAAGGGGGAGTGGTGGAAGGGGAGGGAAGAAGAAGAAAAAAAGCTTGTCTCGGGCTGATGAGGTGGGCGTGCGTGTTGGCCTTTTTGAGTGCGTGGACGAGGGGTTTGGGGAGGGGAGCAAGGAAGCTAATGAGATGCCACAGGGGACAGGGCAAGAACAGGAATTTCGGACCGGGGGGGACAGACAAGGGACGACACGATGGGGCCTTGTTGCTGGCTGCATGCGGCTGTGTCAGCCTCTGGAGCTGTGGCTGCTTCGTGCGGAGTTGCTGATGATGATATGCGAGGCGATCAGAGTTTCGGTTCAGCTCAGCGACAACACGACGCAAGCGTCCAGAGTTCTTTGATACGAGAAGTGGCAGAAGCTGAAGCTTTTCGCGCAGAGCACGTACGAGGGCGAAGACGCTCCCGTCCAAGCGACCAAACCTTATCCAACACGGCCATGCCCTCGCGACGGGTTGCAGCAGCGGCCAGAACGTGTCGCCAGCAAAGCAGGTTCCATTGGATATCGAATAGACGACCAGGCCACCACCAGCTGTCACTTCGCGCCCCTTACCCTGTCTGTGATCGACAGCACCATCTCTCAAGCAAGATAAGACCAAAGGATTTCCCCTACACCCCCTTTTCTCCCCTCATGGACATTTCCAAGATTTCGATCCTGGTCGGCTGCGCTTCATGAAATATTTCTTCCAAGGTCAGAAAGAAGGGTTCCCTTTTGATGATCGCGAAAAAAGGCGCAAGGCCTAGGGTGATTCGTCGGGACCCTTTGAGAGCTTTGCGTCACAGGGTGTCGAGTTAGCACTTTGTTGCTCGATGCTGCTCACCAGAAGCAATAAATGCGCGCTGCTTACCAGAGGTGCAGAAAGCTTGCTTTATGACGGCGCTCGTCGTCTCGGAGGGCTCCGTATTCCGTGCTACTCTGTCGGATCTTCTCCACGCATTGCTGCCTTTGAATTGTGGACAAGGCGTGTACACGCCTTGCTGCTGCTGGAGCTGCGGCGTGGGACTACGAAGACGCGAACATCATTACTCCTTTCGTATTTCGGCTGCCGCTGATGCCACTTTCCGCGTACCAAGTGATTGTGGCAGACGCCGAATGTGATATGGATGGAGACGGGGCATCTCAAATCAGGGTTTTCGAGATGAGAAGGGGTCCTTGGGGGTCCTCGTCCTCATCCTGCTCGAGGACTCCGTTGGATGCATGTCTCGGGGGTTTGCTGGTGATGAGGCATCAAAGGAATGGGCATGAATTCGGGATCGAGATGCTGCCTTTTGCGAGACTCGTCAACCCACTCTGAAGGACCCGTCCTTTATTATCTTCTCGAGCTGGGTGGAGAGCGTTGACTGGCTGACGGCGTCATCACTTGTTGCTTCCGATGCCTTCTTCTTTTCTCGTCCCTTCGATTCTTCCCCTATCATCGGTTCTTCTTCTCAGCTAAGGGTCCGGAGCGCACGGGCGAGTCCCACAGCCACCAACAACAACAAAACCTCATCACGATCGTGACTATCGTCAGCATCCACACGACACCTCTTTGCTACTACTACTAGTCACAATGCTGGGTCCCTGGCGTTGACCTGCATATTCCCGGTGCCGCCAGTGTGGTAGCTGGTAACTGCCCGATCCCCATAGAAGCCGTGCAAAACGGGGCCAGGAGTATGTACAAGCTCATCTCGATCGCACATGTACTTTGTCTTCTCACACCGACCGCAGTGTTGAGCGAGTGTACTTTGCGCATTCGTTGCAAAGTACCGACCTGCCTGCTTGTGGGGAGTGAATACGACTCGTCCGGCGGAGGATTTGGGCTGATCTCCGAGCCTTGGCCAGTCGTGGATTGGCATCGAAGGAGAGGGGGGCTCTCATCGAGATCTGTGAATTGGAGTGGCCCGTGATTGGAAAGCTTGGCTGACCCCCGTGCATACAATGTATGCACGTACGGGTATGGAGCTTTCAGGGGAGTGTTGTTTTACTATTCTCGTATCCGCGGTGAGGAAAGAGAAAAGAAGCTGCTGTGGTTGCATGCAAAGTACAGGTGAGTGCCGATGATGATAAAGTGATCGATGTGATGTTGCGTTGCTGTTTGTTGCGTTCCAGTCGTGCTAACTGGCGAGTGTGCATATGGACATGATGAAGATGTGTACGTTCTCACGCACAACGTGTAGAAGAGGACGAGTCCCAGCTCGTGGAAGACGTACATATGGGATCGAGATCGAATGAGCGATTGTGACGTGAAAGGGATGGACAGCTGGTTCAAGTCCAGTGTACGATGCCCTCTCTGCGTGATCACTTGACTACTGTCTTGTCATTCTCATGATGGGATGACTTGCGGTTTTCCCTTGTGATTCTTCCATATGATAATCGGGATGGAGCAGGGGCTAATCTACAGGTACGATCTTCCCAACCATCGACACACAACGCGCTACTATAGATTGATGCGCATCTCTGGATCCCCTCCAGGTCAGGTCTGACATTCGAAAAGAAGAAGAAGACGACGAAGAGGAAGAATCTCAGCCCATGTAACCCCAAAAGCACGCCGCCGCCGCTCAGCAGATCGCGAATCGTGAACATCCAAGGGACGATCAATCATCAACGCACACCCCTCCCCCCGCCGTGCCGCGTCAATCCTCCCGAATGCCTCGTCTCTCTCATTGTCACATATCTTTTTTTCCTCCTGTTTAACGTTACGATGGTATCGGATACGGGACGCAGCCCGGCCGATATGTCGTCCCTGACTAGATTGACCCGATTGAAAGGGAGCTACTCGCTCGCTCGCTCACTACCCTGAATTCAGACTGTACGTGAGCCGCAGTGCGGGTTTCTAGCTTGGCAGCATGGGCGACAGCCACATTTGTCGGGTCCCTCTTCTGTGGCGGAGGTGTTTCTTACAAACAAGTAAGGCTGCGGCTGCGGTGCGGGAAGGGAAGGGAGATTGACAGGGGAGATCTTCGTGGCACGACAGGATCATCGTCGTACATGTCAAGCTTTTCAAGATTTTTGATGATACGACGGGAGATCTCTCCTGCAGCATCGATCTCTTCTTATGTGTCCTATCCCAAGCGGGTTTGCAAAGGGAACAAAAGCTGGAAGATGGAATACGTGCACCACCGAGATCAAGTGCACTATTTCGAGGGCGTTGAATGTGGGACTAAGGTGTGTATATGGCGTCTCCTGTGTGCTGCTGATCGGTTTCTCGAATCCCTGATCTTCTGCAAGCCGCCTGATATTACTACCATTGCGCGCCACAGCTGGTTTTCGTCATGGCATAGGCCTAACATGGGAATTGGGCGTGTTACAAGGCAATGGTAATTCTTATTTGGCCTCTATGCATCATGATATAGCAGGTCAAAGGCTTGTGGGACCCATGACGAGAAGACTTGGACCATTACCAGAGACACCCGTGGTGCGCGGCGGTATATAGATATTTGGGGGAAAGAGATCCAAATCGTGATTGCGCACGAGGTAAGAATTGGCGGGAGAGACAGGAGGAATGAATGGATACTAGTAAGTTGTGTCGGGGATTGGAGACTTGCTCGTAGTATTTCTTCCTATATACATCCCCTGTGCAAAAGCCTTGGGTAGTTTAAAACGCCTGATATGACAGCCCTTCCCCTCGTTCCAATACCATGCCAAAAGTAATTACACCGTACAGTCTAACGCAAGCAACTCAGCAGAAGGGGGCAGATGGCAGAAAATTCTGTAACACGGTCCTTCGGGCAACAACCTTCACTTCCGGTTCGGCACCGGAGGCGGTCCCATCTTGGTGGCTCCGGTATCGACCCGCTTCGACGCCGGCAAATCGGGCACCTTGAAGCCCCCTGACCCTCCTCCGCTGTTGCCGACCTGCGTGAAGCTGCCGCCCTTGAACCACTTGTCCTCCTCGGCCTTGCGCTTCCGGCTCAGCTCGGCCTGCATCTTGGGGTCGACCAGCTCCAGGCCCTGGACGGGCGTAAAGGCCAGCGACGACTGGATGCCGGTCGCGGAGCCGACGGTGGTGCCCACGCCCGACGTCCGGAGCCCCTTGCCGCGGAGGTCCATGCCGGGCGCCATGCCGAAGCCGCCAATGGACGACGCCGTGCCGCCGCCCAGGGTGCTGGCGCCGCCCCAGCCCTTGCTCTTGACGCCCAGCTTCGCGCGCGTGCGCTGGTCGACCTGCATGCCGCGGATCCGCCCGTCGTTGGCCATGCCGATCATGCCCATGCCCACCGTGCCTTCGCCCGTGCCGTAGCCGACTTCCTTCTCCTCCTTGCCGAACGCCATGCGGTTCTGGGCCTTGCGCAGCTCCGTCATGGCGAGCGCCTCCTTGGCTTTCCTGGCCCGACGGCCACCTCGCTTCCGGGCGGGCTTGTCGTCCGGCACGGGCAGCGCTCGCTGTCCCTTGTTCGGCGGGGGCTCGGTCAGCTTCTCCAGCCTCTCCAAGCAGGCGGATTTCAGCTGCTCTCCTGTCGAGCCGTCGGGGCTTGAGTGGATGCGATCTACTCGCGCGGCCAGGACGAGTTTGGCTGCTACGATTCTCATGGCCTGCTTCTTCAAGTCGTTGGGGATGCCCCGGATGATGTCCGAGTTGTAGAGGTAGCCTTGCTGACGGATGCCAATGTTGGTCGCCAGACCGGCCTGGCGTTTCTTGGAGCCCCAAGAAGGTATGTTGCACGCTGGTGTCTTTGACAGTCCCGTAAGGCCCCCTGCAGCGTTCAAGAGTTGCGCGGCCGTGAGAGATCCGATAAGTACTGTCAAGTTGGGGGCGAAAATGTTCATCCGTGATTGCACGTACTCGGTAAGAGTCTGCTTTGCGCGGTGCAGGGCAATCATCATCTCGCAGGCTTGACGCACTCGCTGTAACTCCTCGGGCGCCATCTCATGGCCCTTGGAGGTTGTGGCTTCTACCGTCACAATCATGAGCGACGGACCATCGAGGACGGCCTTCAGCCCGACTCCTAAGGGGTTGTCTGTAGAGGTCTGGAGGGCCTTGATGTTCTCAGCGTCCATCGGGCCGTTGCCGATGATGGCCACCACCTTTGCATATTCCAGCGGGGTCGTGACAAGGCGTTCCAGTTCGGGAAATCTTGTCGAGTAGTGATCGCGAATGAACTTGTGCACCAGCGCGACCTCGCCGTCTATCATGGTCGAAAGGCTGTTGGACTGCGTCAACAGGTGATACTCGGGGTGGTCCTCGATGTTGCCGACGCTGGTCTGCTGCGCCGTGGGCTGTGATCGGTAATGGTTGATTTTCTGCAGGAGTCGAGCCAACACGTCAGGGCTAATTGCTCATCTCGAAAGCGATGTAAACGAACCATCCAAAGAGGAGAAGGGTCTATGGTTTGGGGGAGGGTTGGATTGTAGGGGGGGGGGGGGGGGATCTACTAACCTCGAGAACGGGCTCCAGCGTCTGCATCAAGCTGGCCACGCTGCGGACGTCTTTGACGGCGCCCAGCTGCATCTTCTCGACCTTTGCCTTGGTCGCCTCCGCGTCCTCCATGTCGTTGAGCGCACCCGCGCCCGCGGCCTCATCGTCCGACGCCTCGTCGTTGTCGTCGTCGTCATCATCGTCGACGTCCATGGCATCGCGGTCGCCATTTGCCTTCTTTTCGGTCTTTTCTGGGATCACAAGACCGGCATTGTCCAGCTCCTCGGCCTCGTCTCCCGAGCTCCCAAAGTCGTTGAGCAGATCGTCTGCGACGGTCGACATGGTGACGGCTGGCGGGAGCCTCTGCGTCGTCTGCCGCTTGTCTTTGTTCCAGAAAGATAGTACAAGTGAGGCTGATGAGAGATAGGGTCCTTCGGGAAGGGCGACGCAAGACTGCTGGAGCACGAGGTGATGCGAGAGGCTTCCTGCTGCGTCTGCTGTGATTACTAGTAGTAGTATTGCCAAGATCAAGCTGCGAGGCTGAGAAACGAAGAAGGAAGTCGATACTACTAGAGGTCCAAGTTGGTCCGTGCGCCTGCATAGAGCGCGCAAGGCAAACTGCTTATCGATAAGGGGCCAATTCCTCCGTATCCACTCCAGCCGCCTTCGCCGCAGCTTCGTGTTCCGACAACTTCCAACATCCTTCGACGCCTCGCCAGTTGTTCTGACTGCCTGGGTGGGAATTCTCTTCAGTGGCCACAAGAGATCCCTCCATTCAGACACGCTGGAACTCAATCTCTAGAGGTCCCTCTTTCTCGCCATCATCGTCGTCAACCGTTGCACGAGCACCCAAGTGACCACAATGGAGTCGTCGCGTGGCCCGCCCAGGGTCAAAAACAAGGCCGCGGCCCCCATCCAGATCAGCGCCGAGCAGCTGCTTCGCGAGGCCGTCGACCGGCAGGAGGTCCAGATCCAGGCCCCGACGCAGCGCTTCGCCGACCTCGAGGAGCTTCACGAGTACCAGGGCCGGAAGCGCAAGGAGTTCGAGGACTATGTCCGGCGGAATCGCGTCAAGCTCAGCAACTGGCTGCAGTACGCGCAGTGGGAGCTGGAGCAGAAGGAGTTTGCGCGCGCGCGGTCTGTCTTTGAGCGCTGTCTCGATGTCCATCCCAACGAGGTCCAGGTGTGGACGCGGTACATCGAGGCCGAGATGAAGTCGAGAAACATCAACCATGCCCGGAATCTGCTGGATCGCGCAGTCACCCGACTGCCCCGAGTCGACAAGATGTGGTACAAGTATGTGTACATGGAGGAGATGCTGGGCAACATCCCCGGGGTGCGGCAGGTCTTTGATCGGTGGATGCAGTGGCAACCGGGCGAGGCGGCATGGAGTGCGTACATCAAGCTGGAGAAGCGATATGGCGAATACGACCGAGCCCGCGAAATCTTTCGGACCTTCACCATGGTTCACCCAGAGCCCAGGAACTGGATCAAGTGGGCCAAGTTCGAGGAAGAGTACGGAACGAGCGACCAGGTTCGCGAGGTCTTTGGGACGGCGGTGGAAACGCTGGGCGACGAGTTTGTGGACGAGAAGCTGTTCATTGCCTATGCCAGGTTTGAGTCCAAGCTCAAGGAGTATGAGCGGGCGAGAGCCATCTACAAATACGCCCTGGACCGCCTGCCCCGATCAAAATCAAGACTGCTGCACGCGGCATACACGACATTCGAAAAGCAGTTCGGCGACCAGGACGGCGTGGAAGACGTGGTCTTGTCCAAGCGAAGGGTGTACTACGAAGAGCAGGTGCGCGAGAACCCTAAAAACTACGACGCCTGGTTCGACTATGCCGGCCTTGAGGAGGCTTCCAGGGATGCAGACCGTGTTCGGGACGTCTACGAGCGAGCGATTGCCCAGGTCCCGCCGACGCAGGAGAAGCGGCACTGGCGCCGGTACATCTATCTCTGGATATTCTACGCCGTGTGGGAAGAGCTCGAGGGCCAGGACATTGAGCGCGCCCGGCAGATTTACACGACATGCCTGAGCCTGATACCCCACAAGAAGTTTACGTTTGCCAAGGTATGGCTGCTGGCGGCCCAGTTTGAGATTCGACAGGGCGACCTGGGAGCTGCCCGGAAGCTGCTGGGACGCGCCATTGGCATGTGCCCCAAGGACAAGCTCTTCAACGGATACATCGACCTCGAGCGGAAGCTGTTTGAGTTTGTGCGCTGCCGAAAGCTGTACGAGAAGCACGTCGAGTTCAACCCGACAAACTGCCAGACGTGGATCAAGTTTGCCGAGCTGGAGCGCGGCCTGGACGACCTCGACCGCGCGAGGGCCATCTTCGAGCTGGCGGTCAGCCAGCCGCAGCTCGACATGCCGGAGCTGCTGTGGAAGGCCTACATCGACTTTGAGGAGGAAGAAGGCGAGTACGAGAGGACGCGCGAGCTGTACGAGCGGCTGCTGGAGAAGACGGACCACGTCAAGGTCTGGATCAGCTACGCGCACTTTGAGATCAACATCCCCGAGGAGGGCGACGACGACGCCGCCGCCGCCGCGGACGACGAGGAGCAGCCCGTCAGCGACGAGGCCAAGGCACGCGCCCGGCGCGTCTTTGAGCGCGCGCACAAGAGCATGCGCGACAAGGACCTCAAGGAGGAGCGCGTCAGCCTGCTCAACGCCTGGCTCTCGTTTGAGCGCACGCACGGCTCCGAGGCGGACGTCGAGGCCGTGCAGAAGCAGATGCCGCGCAGGGTCAAGCGCCGGCGCAAGGTCCAGGACGAGAGCGCCGGCGAGGACGTCTACGAGGAGTACATCGACTACGTCTTCCCGGCCGACGACCAGCAGGCCAGGAGCCTGTCCAACATTTTGGCCGCGGCGCAGCAGTGGAAGCAGACGGGCGGCGGCTTGTCGGGCGCTTCGTGAGGAGGAGGGCCTGGGTGGAAGTCGCGCTTGTGCGGTGGAAAGAGAAAACACCGGACTGGCTGTCATTGTATATGGCGCTTTTTGTAATATGGAGAGATCAGCCCGGTGTTTTTTTTTTCTTCCCACCGCCTGGGCGACCTGTATGCCCTATCTTCTGACATCGCTGATTCAGAACGCAACGCGCTGCTTACTATCTCTGTGTATGTATGTATGTATGTATGTTCAAACGTTGCGTACAACATACATACATACGCACATGTCATATACCAATCAAAACACACCCATTTCACGCAACACAGAGAACACACGCAGGTTCTTCATTACATTACATTACATACTCTATATCGCAATACATATAAGGGCCGAAAAACCGCTACCTACCTTACCTACCTACGGACAGTACCATCTAATATCAAGAAATCCAAAACGCGGTAAACGGGCTTCTGCGAACTCCGTGAAAAGCTGCACAACGACGTCACCCAACCATGCAGCAAGGGCATACTCGTACACATACGATGGGGTCTCGGCCCCTGCTGTGACGTTTCACTATCTAGGGGGAGCGATTTTGTAGCTACACCTAAAAAAGGGGGGGTTGAGGGGCGACATGAGTGTTCCAAGATCTTGCTTGATGCAGTTGGCTTCTGTCTTACACGGACCCGATGATGTCATAGATTGCTGTAATGTTGAATGCGTGGATTTCCTTCATCAGGAGCGGGAATACTTTGGTTGACGAGTGGTCGATTCATGTATATGCGAAATGTATAAGCTACTGAAGCCTGGAAATCATCATGGCGATTCTTTTTTTCATCGTCTTTTCATTATATAAAAAACATTCATCGTAAACATCAGCAGTCATGATTCGTAAACGGCTTCCAGCTTTACCCAGACCCCGCATCCAAGGAATGTCATAACAACCATCCAACAGTCGTCCATCCTCCAAACCTGTATCCAAGCCCGAGCGTTCCCAATCACCGTACCTTGTAGATCTGCCCCTCTCGCCATTCGTCCGTCCCGAGCCGTCTTTGCCGTGGCTTCCGCCCATCCCTTCCCACCTGCTACCAAAACCGGCAGCATCTCACGTTACTCTGGCATGATCGTTGTCCACGGACATAACAAAACCTGCGTCTTCCTCGTGTCGATTTGCATGCATATGTGCAACCCACCCATGCAAATCGCCAGAATCGGCTCTTGCATCCGAGAAACGGCTGCCTGCTTCAGTCGATCGGCATGTATCCGTGCCCAAGCAGAGCCATGGCCGTGATTCCGTCCTGTCGGATGCGTTCCTTATTCTCCGGAGAACAAGCAATCAGTAGCGTCGGTGGTCTGTAGCAAATCAATTGTCATTAGTCATTCTCGATGCAGATGTCAAAATAGTGAAAAAAGACAGAGAATTTGGCTAAGCTTGAAGCACAATCTATATAGTGTGTGTCACGCAGCACAGGAGTCTGAAGTCTTTTGACCCTTTGAAGATGCCATGTCTGTGTCTTCAAAAGGCGAAACCAAAAGCAATACAAGTGTCGGAGGCACTTTGCAATTTGCCGTGCCACGCAACGTGTGTAGGGAATGTGAGCCAGTGGTATGACATCGGTAGTGTAGCGACACTTGTCGCCATAATGAGCGTTGGTTCTTGGGAGTGCAAGGTGAGGCCGAGTTGGCGGAATCCGAAACGTAGAAGCTGATTCAGGGCTGCCGCGTGATAGCCGCTCAACGGCTATCGCGCCTGAGAGGTGGTTGGAGCAGCGGAGGGACTCCGCTGTATCTGTCGGGGTCGTAGTCTGGCTCATCCTCGCCGTCTCCAAAGTAGCCATCGTGTCTTTCCCGCGTGGGAGTCGACCAGCTTGATGACCGTTGCCGTTCACCAAGCTTCTGGCGTTTCTCCAATCGCTTCTGGTGGCGACGCATTTTCTCTTCCCTCCACTCCTTGCACTCGCGGGCCATTTCGCGGGCTTCTTTGAGCTCTCCAAGTGCGCCCTTGATACCGATGGCAGCAATGCCGATCGAAGCTGCGTCTTGCATGAGAGCTTTTGTCTTGAGCTTCTTGGCCTCCTTCGAGCTAAGTAGGCCCTCCTTGACAGCCTCTTTCCGTGCCTTTCTCTTTTCCATGCTTTTGTAGACTCCATGTGCTGCGTGAACTGTGGCAATGGCCGCAAGGCCGGTAGTAATGATCTGCTTACCTCGCATCTTCTTGGCTCTCCTCTCATCCTCGGAAGAATCCCCCAAGTCGGACTCAGACCCGTAACCGCCTCTCCGCCGCGACGGATCGCGAGAGCGAGAACGCTCCGACGGGGAGCCATCGCGGGAGTCCCCGCGATGTCCACGACTGCGGCGGTATCGGGGATCGTCGTATACATGGTCGTCATCTCGTCGACCAGAGTAGCGTGAGCTCCGGTCATCGTAGTCGCTATCATAGTCGCGACGGCGACGTTCATCAGCGGCCACCAGGGCACCGCTGCCCAAGCCTAGCTTGGCAAGACCGTCGCGTGCCTTATCCACGACGCTGCGGCTACGGCTGCGGTGACGGTCTCGCGAAGGGCTTCGGGAATCATAGCTCCTGTCGCGGCCGCGAGATCTCGATCGGTCAAAGGCCTTCTTGGCCCCAATGGCTCCCAGGCCGGCCGTTGCAAGTGCGGCAAGGCCGACGCCTTTATGGCCGTCCTTGGACCGTGCACGAGATCGGGAGCGGCTCCTGCCAGTGCGGCGGTCCTCCTCGATGTCATTCCTGGAGCCGTTGATCAAGCGGTTGCCCACCAGGCCACCGATGACTGACTCGGCGAGGCCCAGCTTTCCGTGGTCTGCACCGTGAGCGGCGTCCACCGTGGCGGCACCGGCGGCGGCAGTGAGGATTCTCTTAGTCTTCTCTCCCCTCCAACCGCCGGGCTCCTTGGCGACCCGGAAAGCCTCGGTGGCTCCCGCAAGAAGCGATGCAATAGCCGCCTTCTGGACCTTGCTGGCACCTTTGCCGCTCCTGGACTTGGAGCTCGAGCGAGAGCGGACGCTCCGGGAGCTCCGGACGCTTCGAGAGCTGGGGCTGCCACCGCGGCTCCTGGTATCAGAGTGCCTGTCATCGTTGCCGCCAGCGAGTTGTTTGACGGCCGCTCCAAGGCCGGTAGCGGCTAGAGCGCTCTCGAGGAAGTTCTTGTGTCCCTTCTTCTCCTTGGTGTCGCTCTCGCCATCCGAATCATAATACTCATCGAGTTCGCCATCCCGGCCTCGCGAAAGGATATACTTTGCCTTTTGATCCTTCCTTGCCTGCTGCTTGCTGTAGAACTCGGCGCCCGAATAGGCAGCAAGCGCGCCGAAGCCGGCGAGTGCAGCCGACGACAGTGCATTGCGCTGGACAGGGGTGCCGCCCTCCTTCTTGGCTTCATGGCGATCATAGAGTTCCTTACCGCCCACAAGAAGGGCGGCACCGGCAACAGCAGCAATGATCTTCTCCTGCTTCGACAGGGTCTTGCCGTGCTTGGATCTTCTGTCGCGGTCATCGCCGCCATGGCTGCTGCCGGCGTATCTCGAGTGGCGATCACTGTCCCGGGCGTCAAGCCGTGATCCGTAGACGCGGCGGTATTCGACATCCTCCTCGCGGTAGTAGCCGGGCTCGGCAGACCGAGCTCGGCGCACGTCATGGACGTACTCGCGTCCAACGGGCGGCGGGAAGTCGCGGCGAACCTCCTCTACGGAGAGGCTGCTGTCACGGGGATCTGCGCGGGGGACGAGGTCGTGGCTGCCGCGAACCTCGCCATAGTCGTCGAAGTAGCGAGGATCGCGCTCATCGATCATATCCCCGCGCAAGTAGCGACGGGAATAGTCATAGTCGCGCGGGCTGTGGCTCGCCATTTGGTGTCTCCCGAGGTCGTCTGCGAAGAAGGGTGACGATAGGTTGATTCTGCGAGACTCTGCGTCTCAGTGTGCTGGCGGGGTAGCCGAGTTGTATAATATGCCGCACACAGCTGAGGACTTGTGGCAGTAACTGCCGATTTTTGTTCGTATTTGCCTCGCTGCCTCGAAGGTTGTCGTCTATGCAGAGCTGAATAAGCGTCTCTGACTCTGCTGTATTTGCTGAATATCTGTGTCCAAGACTGATGCAACAGATGATTATCAAAAGACTGTTGAGTTGGTGGAGGAGGCAGAAAAAGAAACTTGAGAGGCAGAAACTTGCGAGAGGCAGGACAGAAAAGATATTGTCGAATTGGGGGGGCCTTGGAAGGAGCGACTTGGCCGCAGCGCCTGCAGGAAGCGGCGGGGCAAGACGTAATGGCGACACACACGAGGACCGGGGGGGCAGGAGCACCCCTGCTGTTGCCTTGCTTTCTGCCCTGTCTTGCTTTCGCCCGGCGATTCGCGAGCTTTCATAGGGCAAGGCGGTCTGGACGGCGCATTTCAGCCAGCAGTGACTGCCAGATCGCCTTACTCGTACTTGCCGGTATTGCGAGCATCGTGGGCGAGAAACGACACTCTGCATGTATAAGGTAGACGATAAGGCAGCCCAGGGCATCTGCAGGGCATCTACGAGTACCAGTAGTCTACATGGAGTTCCAGCAGAGTCTGGGAGAAGTGTGGCACAGCGGCTGCGCCTCGTAGTTCACTCAACAGCTCTGCACTTGGCGACGCTGTAATGCGCCAGCGAGCACCTTGATGGTACTGGAAGGTGTCTGTAGTATCTTGGAGTTATCTTATAAAGCGGCATATTCCGGTAGGTATCGTCCAGGTTCTGGATCGAGCCTCGCATCTCAACAAACACACGAACTCGGACACACCGATCCATCCTATTCTCGCCCTGCGTTCAGCTCATGCCGTCCAACCTCAGCCTCACAACCGGGCGAAAAAGAAAAGAGCCCGGCAAGAGGGAGAGGGGATAATGGCTTCTAGGCTGGTCTAGTTGGATCAGCTCCGGTCAACTGAGCAAACCGAACAGGACGCTTAATCTGGTGACTGGCAGACGCTTTCGCGCTACGGCTTGCCCTATCCGCGAACCCAGCGCATGATGATGACAGGACGCGAGTGAGCCCGTATCGCCTGATCACCGAAGAGTCAGAGAAAGCATCTTCCCCTTCTATCGCTCTGTATAAGTCGTCCCTTGCCGTCTCAACAACCTCGCGGGACAGCCCACGGCCACCCGCAGCCCAGCCCCAAGCCCCAAACGCCACACCGAACCCAAACCCAAGGAGCCCCGAAATTTCCTTCTTTGCTTCTCCCCCTCTTGCAACCATCTCTTATTCTTCCCATACCCATATTCCGACCCCGCTTCTGCTCCCGAGGCCTCACCCGTCCAAGAACTGTTAGCAGCCACAAGCGCCAGCCACCCGAGCCTTGACCTCTTTCGTCTTGGCTGTGGCTCGTGACGCGATATCATTGGCCGAAGTGGAAGGGCTATCGCTCAAGCCACTTTTCGCGGGGAGATGTCTGCCCACATGATGTCATCTCTCTTCAATGCTGCGGAATGACGACTGAATGGGGGGGCCTTTTCCCTCCATCTTTCAAGGCGTCGTTCTGGTTTCTTGGTCTTGGGAAACTCATCGCAATCATCAAGCCCAAATGTGTCACAGATTGAAAGGCTACGAGTACATATGGCAAAGGGTCTATTAAGGTACCCTTTTCACTTGAATAATACGAAAGGGTACAGCAACCGCTTTACGAGAACCTCATTCCCATTCCAGCCTAGCCACTGCCTCGCCCAAGCCTCCATCTCGCCATGCCTCGGCAGCCGAATGCGACTCTACTCCGTACCATCGTATCGTATCGTATCGCTTCTCACATCCAAGAATAGCCGCGCACAGCTCTCGACCCCGTATTGTACGCGTGTGTAGTACTTTTGTAATCACTGGTGGAAAATAGATACTACCTTACCTTATGTGTGTTGTTAAATGGGAAGCTTAAATAAAAAAAAGAAGTTGTTGCAGATCCTGCTTCGCGTCGTCGTCGTTGTGTGACGACGTATGTGACGAGGCTCAGCCTGGGGGCAACTTGTCTGCCTTCCTTCGCGTACATAATGCCCTTTACGCCCCATCACTTTGTTTGAAACAGCGTCCTTCTAAATGGCCGAGTCATATTGCTGTGTGTGTTGAACCAGTATCGCCCGTCTGAGAACTCAAAGTCGCAGTTGCTCAACAACATCTCATCCACACCGAGACAAAAGGCTTCACGATGATGTCGCTTCACCACTTCATCGCCATTGCGCTCACCACGAGCTCCCTCGCCTTGGCGCAAGACTCTCCGTGAGTGCCTTCACTATCTATTCACAACGCAGATCCAGTTGCTCATCTTCTCGAATATCAGAATTCCAACTAAACTTCTTTCAAATCCCGTCCAACCCACTGCCTTTTCCGACGACCCTGCCTTGACCACCCACAGGCCGCTCGTCATCGTCACACCAAGTTCTGGAACCGACCAAGCTGAAAGCACATCGAGTGTCATCCTGTAAGCCCACCACTGCCTCCTCACCTCTGGACTCACCCTATCTATATGACACCCCGACTCCCCAAGACCGAGTAAAACCTCTCAATCATTCATTCATCCCATACTGACAGAAAATTGGTTCCTTCAGGACCCTGCCAGACACAACCGCAACCCTAAAAGACACCCTCTACGTCCAAACCACCATGCCCGCACCATCATCGCCTCCAACTCCAACAGCATCAGGCCTCTTCCCGCAAACGACATTTCCCAACTTCAACTCAACAACAACGACCACCACCACCACTGCGGCAGAGACTTCGCCGTCCATCCCACCTTCTTCGCCTTCTTCTCTCACCACGCTGACGGGCACGAAAACGCAAACGCTGACGTCGAATCCGGCTTCCGTGCCGACGGCGTTTGCAAATGCTGCGGCTGGGCTCATTGCCCTTGTTGGTTTGGCCATGGCCTTGTGAGCCCCAGATTGGCTCCTTTAAGTTTTCAGAAAACCGATAACGTGGTTGTTTGACTTTCTGTTAAAAAGGCTGCTATTGTGTTTTATCGTTTTTGGGACAAGCCAAAGGGGGTTATGGATATATGGGAAATATTGCACATGAGTTCATAATTCCCTTTTCAGCGAAATCAGGACCTCCGAGAGTTTAAGAAAAGAAACATGCAATGTATACACGTATTTTGGGGATTTTACTGCCATGTATCGCTCTCACGAATTTTCACATCATCAGCACAACCAGCAGACCGTGTTGTAAGTCAGGAATAACTTGGTTGGCCATCTGGCCAAGTCGTCCAAGTCCAAACCTGCATCGAGGCAGAAAAGATATAAGTTCGTTCCCTATAAAACCAAGACCCCATCCAGTGAGAAGGATTCATAATGGTATATGTGATTTTAAACAAGTCTTGCTCTGACTGCGTCTGCCTGCTCTTCCGCAAATAAGTAAGATGTTTAGATTAAAGCATATAGGATAAATGTCATCTCAAGGGTACACCACAGTCCAAGGTTCAGCGGGTAAATTAACACGCCCACAGATGAGTTGCCTTGTTTCATTCTTCTTCATATAACTTTAATCACACAACGATAAATGAGACATCGAGCTCCTCTTACTCTTGATAAATGTCTTTTTTTCTCTCTCGTTTGTCAATTATTCTTGCTTAAATCCTATCGTACAAATCAAGCAATTTCTGCAGCATCACCGTCCCCTACGCTGTCTCAAAACAAACTCAATAGATGCCAGGAACAACAATCCAGCCCAAAAGTAGCCTCCAAGATGTAAAGATGTATGAACGCAAGAAATCAGATGAGAAGAGAAGAGAGGAAAAACAACATGTCAAGAAAAAAAAAAATTCTCATTTTGTGCAACCGTTTGCCAAATTAGCATCCGTGTAAATGCCCGTGAGCGGTTCGGCTCAACTTCCTCAATCATCTTGCTTCTTTTGCCTTTTTCAATTTTGCAGTTTTTTTTCTTGTCCCTCAAGTTTGGTTGTCCATCCGTCCATCATGCATCTGGCAACAAATGATAACCTCGGATAGAAAAAAAGATCGTAATGGAGAACCCTTGTTTTTGTGTCTTTCTCATCAATAGCATGGGGTAGCTGGAGCAATCTTGAACTAATGCTCAGGAGTGAAAACATAGAAGTGGCCCTCTTTTCATAGAGGGCCACCCCAGATCCCAACAGGCGCAGCAGGACTAGCGTATGCCTTTCCAATCCAAATCCCGCGAAAGAAGACATCTTTCTCCCGAGCTTCTCCCCCCGGAAGGGTGTGTGAAATATCATCATCCACCCTCTGCCGAATACCATGTCAGAGATAATGATGGTTGCCCGCCAGGAGGATCGGACCTCCATATCAACATAGGGTCTCCAAATGCCCTTGCCCTCGAGCGCCGGCTCTATATCCCCTTCTCAAACTTTTTGTCCCTTTCTTTCCTCTTCCCCTATTTACTTTCCATGTGCCATTCTTCTTCTTCTTCTTCTTTTTTTCTTCATTTTTTCTTTTCTTCAAAGAAAAAAACAAATTCCCAAACCAGACCGTCAGACGCTTTGCCGCGTGGTAGGAGCCGGACCCAAGATAGAAACACAAGTCTCCGGGGGGTATCTTTTCCCCCCTCGCCCCCTTTTTTTCTGTTTTGCTCTCTTATAACAGAGTAGCGGAAACGCCCCGTCCCCCATCGTTTGGCCGCGTAGGTAGACAATCAAAGGGCAAAAGAAACGAAATCTCTTACAAAAGCCAAAAAATTCCTCAAATAATTCACAGTTTTGTTGCATCGCTTTTTGTTTTGCCGTTTCCCATGCCCAGCCTTAGCCAAGAACAGCTAGGCAGAACTGTGACGAAAATGAAAGATTAAAATGCGTGGATCACTTGAGCCGGCCAAGGACATGTCATGACAATTTGTCCGGCCCAGCACAAGAAACTTAATATGCGGCAAGTGTCTCCAAAAGGCTGTTCGCCCACAGACACTCACAGGACGAGAGGGGCTCCCGATCGTCAGGAGTCAGCCATTGCAGCTTCCCGTGACCAGCTTAGAATCGGGGATCCTCCTACGCAGACTGTTCGTGGGAGACCCCATTCGTCAGCACGCTCTCGACGGCCTTCTCAACGTGTCCATTCGTGATAACCGGACCATCAGTCTTGCCCTGGTCGCCCAGGTTGAGAACACCTGAGGGAGCAAAGTCGGGCACATCGGCGGACAACTGGCTGGAGCCGGCATGGCCATTGACGTGGCCGTTGACGAATCCGTTAACTCCCTGGTTGACGAAAGACTCATCGGGGAGCTGCTGCTGGAACGCAGCGTCGGTGGGGACTGCATATGCCTGAGGCGATGTCATGCCATAGGGAACGGGCATTCCGTTGAACTGAGGCGGCATCTGCGATGGTCGGTTCTTGAACGTCAGGTGGGCCGGGCCGTGGTTGCGAGCAAACTCATCCCGGACCTCGAGCGGCAAGACAAAGCTTTCCCATGCCGTGCTTCGTCGCACGCGTTCAATGTCGTCTTCGCCAACGGCGAGATCAAGCTCAGTGGACATCTCGCACACGGCGCGAACCAGGGCGATATCGGCAGAGAGCTCTCGCACACGCTTGAAGGAGGCAATAAAGTGCAGGGGCACGAAGCCTTGCGAGTCCATCCGTGCGCGGAGGTATACGTCCTTGCAGAGGTTCTCAATGGAGAAGTAGTACTCGACCTGGCTCTTGAGAACCGGCACCAGCATGTTGTCCCAGTAGGGCTGAGGCTGGAAGGGCATTGCCGTCATCGGCGCCATCGGGTACTCAAACGGGGCAAACTGAGTCTGAACCTGAGGAATGCGTGCCGATCCGTTGGGGAGTGACATCCGATGGTAGTTGCCAGCATTGTTTCGGCCGCCTCGGCCACGACCTTGGGATGGCATGTACATCTGACCATGGGCACCCTGCCGGGGAGGTGGGCTGTAGGGGCCCTGGGCTCGTCCGCCCATAGCACCCGATGCAGAGAAACTGGATCCAGTGTGCTGGTGCTGGTGCTGAGCGTTGACGGGATGGTGTCCGCCACGTCCACGGTATCCACCTCGCGGTCTGTCGCTGCGGCTCTCTGTTCGCTCACGAGCGGCATGGCCCTGCTCCTGAAAACACAAATGTTAGCACGTCATTCCAGGAAAAACGGCGGTGTCGTTGGTATGAGAGTCTGCCATTCTTCCCCTCCCCTCCCTCGGCTATCTGCGAGATCGACGATCTCCGGGAATAAGAAAAGAAATTACTTACGTTGGAGTTTGAGGTGGCATCCTTGCTCTTCTCGTTGCCAGTGTGGCTCTGAGTCTTCCTCTGTTCACGTGCGCCAGACATATCTGTCGATGAGCGCTTGCTCGTAGCCTGAGCGGGCTGCGCATTTCGGTTCGGGCCGTTGGCGCCGTCACGAGGACGCTCCTTGCCGCTGTTACTGCTGCTGCTGCTGTTCTCGCTGGGCTTGCCTTGGCTGGCGACGGGGGCGGCAGCCTTGTCACCGGCGTTGGATGCCCCCGTGGCCCTGGAGCCGTTGGCGTTTCTGGCTCCGCCGCGAGGCTTGGAGTTGCGCATCTGGGGGAGCTGGGTCTCAAAGTTGACGCTCGGCACGTAGTCCATCGTCACCCACTTTCCCTTCTGTCTCGGCTTTGACTGAGACCCGTCCTCCGAGGCATCCTTCTCCTTCTCGGGACGGTCAGACTTCTCTGCGGGCTTCTTCTTGTCTTCTTGGATGGCCGTCTCGGGCGTGGGCCAGGCCGTGGTGTCGGCGACTGAAGGGGGCACATCGCCCCTGCTGGCATCTTTATCCGCTACCCTTGAGCCACGGCTAGCGTTTCTCTCGGAGCGAGGGGCATCGACCGATTTCCGAGGAGGCTTGACGCCATTCGGTATGCTTTCACGTTGGGCAGCAGGAGCTGGAGTGCCATTCTCGGCCACTTTAGGGGACGCTTCGGGCTTCGGCGAGCCATTGGTGGTCTGCTCTGCAGAGGGGGCTGGAGACGGCTTAGCCTTTGCCGAAAGGGCCTCGGCGCGCTGCCGCCAGATGTTGACAGAAGGAATAGGCGCCTCAAACAGCTCGACCTTGGGAGCTTCCTTTTCAGGCTCCTGCTCCTTGTCCGCCGCCGCTGACTGGTCGTTGGCTTGCTTGTCAGCAGCCTTGGACTTCTTAGACTTCCGCGGCCTCCTGGCGTCTTGTTCGTCGACCGATCGCGTGGTGGTGCTCGAGGACCTCGTGCCTTTGTCATTTCGTCGCCATGGGCGATCTAACCGACTGGACTCATCGTCCCGTACGGGCTCGCGGCGCGCCTCCTGGGCATCCTCTGACCGGGGCTCGGCCTCGGGAGCCGTGGCGCTGGCGGCATCCTGCTTCTCCGTGGCGGCAGGAGAATCGGCGCTTCGAACGGCCTCGGTGGGCTCGGTGGCGCTCTCGGCGTCTGTGGCAGCCTTGGGCGCGGCTGCTGATGGCTGGGCGTCCTGGACGGGCTGTCCAGAGGGAGCATTTGACGGGGCAGTGCCCTGACCCTTGGCGGCCTGCGCATAAGAGAAAGCTGAAGCGGTTGCCATTTTTGATGGAAACCGAGATGGAGAGGAGTGGTGGTGAAGGAGAATGAACGAAGAAAGGAAATGATCTGGTGGCGAGACCGATCGACTTGTTTGACGAATTACGAGAGACGGGGTCCTCGGTCCAAGGTCTCAAATCGCACCTTGTCGCGGTCGAGTTCGTCTGCGTGGAAGGCAGAAGGCTCTGGAGTTTCCTTTGGCGAGTTGGGAAAAAACGCTAGAGTGCACCAGACACCTCCGATGCTGCTGGTGCAGGAGGGCAGGCGTTGGGTTGTTTTCTTTTCTTTTCCGTCTGTAGATGCTTCTCGCAAGGAGAAACAAAAGAAAAATGCGTGGAATCCGTAGCTGTGAAGCGGGACGGTCGTCTCTCGAGCCCAGGCGAAGGGATCAAGATCACGTCGATGAAAGTTGTGGCGGAGGGGCCCGAACCTCTTTAACTGGTCGAAAAAAACACACGAAGACGGCCGGTCGGCAAAAGGCGCCTCAAGTCGGTGGCTTTGTCGCACACTTGGGAGCCTTTGGGGAGCGAGCTGGCGCACGTAGCAGGAGTGCGAGTGCAGAGACGCAGGCCGGAGCAGCAGGAGTCAGCCAGCCAAAGGGAGAGGCGACAACAGGCTGCCGGATTGAGGGTCGACGTGAAGGTGACCGGGGTGGCAGCGAGGAAGGCAAGGCGTTGCGTAGTGGCACGCGGGCAATGCAGGGAACTCGAAGGGAAAGGAAAAAAAACCAGCTGCGCTGCTCGACAGGTCGCGGCGCAGCCTGTCAAGGAAGGGTCAAGCAGAGGCCAGCCGGCGCGGCAATTCTGGAGAATTGACTGGACAAAGAGGTTGGTGGTGAAGAAGATGAAGAGGGCACAAAGGGCAAACGAAAGAGGCAAGTTGATAATTTTTTGCGGTTGTGTGAATAATAAAACTTTTTTTTTTTTCCTTTGGTTCCCCTCTCTTTTCTTAACGATAGGGCGCCTAGACGGGTTTGGCGGGTTCGGCGGGCTTTCTGGACCACAGGAGACCCCCGAGAGAGCGAACGAAGTGCTGATGGAAAGCGGAGCGCGAGAGTTACAGCGGTCCCCAGGCAGCGAATTGGCGCTGGATTACGGAGCGCAGTTGGCCCCTACAGCCGACTAGCGGGCCTATGGAAGCACGCTCTTACAGCGCTGCCGGTCCCAAACGAGTAGGTAATAGTGATGGAGGATAGAGTCGTAAGAGGCTGGGCGAGATGCCTGTGTGGAATGCGCCGGGGGATGGGAGGGATGGAGATTATTGCATGTGCCTTATTAATAAGAGTGAGAATTATTGGGAAACGAGGACAAATAGGGAATGATGACGATGATGGGAAAAAACAGACAGTGAGCGAGAAGGATCCTTGCCGGGACGCAGAGGCTGAGCTGATGCAATTCGAATTCGAACTGCCCGGTTCGAGGGCAAACCTCTGGGGCTTTCCGAGGCCGGCCCACAGCTGGGTTTGATGGAATTGGATGCTAAATGCAAAATCGTTTGCTGCGCTGCGCTGCGGGTGGAGTGGCTTGGCTGCGAAATGCGCGAATAGGGATCCTGGCAAAGCGGACGTCGGGCCAAATCGGTGTTTCTGGTTCTGGCGACACAGAAAGTAGAGAGAGAGAGAGGGGGAGAGAGGGAGAGAGGCAGAGAAACTGGGTTGTTTGTGCTTGAAGCGACAGACGACGTCGCAATAGACTTTTGTGCCTGTTTGCCATGGGCAATCCTCACCTCGGCTGCCATGCGTGGCTCTTATATAGCATGGCAGCGCTACCTACTTTGAGCATCGTGTTTGCTGCCATCGCTTATACTTTTCACGATTCCCCAGGTTTCGGTAGTCCGTGGCGCGAAGTTGCTTTTTTCCTTCAATTTGCTTTGTTAGCCCTTTCTGCTCGTTTGGTGTTGGATACGAAGCCACCAGCCAGCCAGCAAGCCTCGCGCACTTGCAGCGAATTGGAGGCTGGCGGCCGGCGTGAGACATGCGCATTTTTAGCGCGGAGTCATTTCTCATTCAACATTCATTCAAGGACTGCGTGTGGCCTCGATTCGTATTATTATACCTACCTACTTTCGTACCTACACGTACCTACACACAGGTAATCACTGACGCCGGCCCTGTTTCTCTCACGATCGCGCTCCTCTCGATCTCGCTTCGTGGATCAGCAGGCAGGATTGCCGGGAGATCGTCCGCCTCTTTTTGCTTTTTACTGCCCTTTTTTCACACTGCATTCATACCTTATTGTCGTCCACCTTTTAGATCAATCCTCGGGCCAGTTAGACTATCGTTTATCGCCCTTATCGACAAGCGATAACCCGCGATAAAGACCAACTTTTTTTTTTTTTTTTTCCCTTCTGCCAGCAGATCTGGGTGTGGCTTCCAGGCCGATAGGAAGTAAAGGAAAAGGGATAAAAGAAAAAAAAAAATGGCAGCTTAGACCTCATCAGCAACGCTGGGCTCTCTGTCCCCTCTTGCATGGTACTGACGCGCTTTTAATCTCTCATGCACGCACTCCGCGGGCGAGGCGGTGGTACATGAGACGAGGTACTGTAGCAGCAGCAGCAGCAGGTTTACATGGTAACTCCGGTCGTAGTAGCAAAAGCTCCGCAACATGCTTCTAAGAGTCATCTTTGCCGAGGGCCAACCGACTTGTCTCAGTCCAGCCCTTGCGGATGAAATGTGCGCCGTAGCCCGGGCACCGGAATGGATGTGACGGGATTTCCATCAATGATCCCAAGGTAGGTACTAGTAGGCACTTTGTGCTTCGCAATCCAAGGCCAAAAGAAGCAACTCTTTGAATCAGCTTACTGCCAGTGCTACCTACGAGTACCAAAGGGATATCCTTTCCCTTACTTCCAGGTACTCGGGTATCCGTGAAGCCACCCGTTCCATTCCCCAACTCAGCACCTTATTGCTATTGTATTAATAGCAGCACCCGGGAAACAAAATCTGTTCCGGCAGCCCCCGGTGTTTGCTTTTCCGGCCAAAGCTGCGGCTTGCTTTGAGAAAACCTGGCTGCACAACCTGAATATACAAGTTGAGGAAGCGGGAACCTCTTTTCGCTCAAGACATCAACACAAAGACCATGACGATCTTTCGCACAGTAGCAATTTCTCAAATCTTCACGCAAAAGTAACGTTTATCCAAGCATACCTTAACCTCCCCATCCAGCACCCGCGACATCTCCCCAAGCCCCCCATCCAACATCATGTAACCCAAAACAATGATCGTCACCGCAGGCACATACATACATTCCCAGATATTGGTGCTACGCAACACACAAAGACTGGACGTCTCTCAATCTATTCCAGAGAGCCAATCAAACCCTTCTCCTCCCACCCTCCTTCAATACACACTTTTCACAACCTGTATTTTGTACATGTCAAACGAACCTCCGTCCCCCTCCAAACGCCGACCCGCCCTTGACATGGCAGGTGACCTCTTGCCCGCTCTGCCCACTATGTATCCCAGTCCATGCTTGTGTTTCCGGCACGTGCATGAGATGTGCCGTGTCTGTTCAGTGAAAATCTCCGGAGAGATTCATGCATTAGTTGCCTGGGAGCGCTTGTAGATTATGCACAAGAAGGAGAACCGGGCTTCGGCAGTCCACCTGATAGGCGCGCTCTCGAGACTGTATTCATGCTACTACGATAAAACACCAGGCTTCCAACATAATACATATCCATGGTACATTTACAAAACACAAAAAGCCCTACCCAAGGAGCATTACGCGTCCGGTATTGATTCTGTAGGGCGAGAATCCTGCTTGGCAACACCTCCCAACCAAGACTCACCCCGACAACCACGCCGTAGCCTGTCTTGCTCCGTAAGAGGTAGCCAGGCGCAGTCCTGTGGAACCCATGGGGAAATAACTGACTAAATACCAGAGCAAGGCAGCAAGTTGTGCTATCGCCGAGAAGAGGGTGAGGATGGTGCTTTGAACCTTGTTCATGGTTAGCAGGCTTCCTTGGCCGTTGACTGTAAAGCATCATCGCCTCCCATTCTCTCTCGTAAAAAGTGAGGGGGAGAAAGAGGGGGGGCTCCTCGACATACCTTGATGGCGAACACGAGTGTCAACGCAATGGAGCCAAAGTAGGCAGCGGTAAATGGCAGTCGAGGCGCCGAGAAGAGGTGGTAGATGTAGTTCATTGGTCCCATAATGGCAGCAAAAGATGCCAGGAAGAGCGTCGATCCAACCGTCCATCTAGGTGGGGGATTAGCAATGCGCAGCAACAGGGGTGCTTGGTCTCGCCAGGTATGGACGCATGCAAGTGATTGATGCAATTTTGTCTACCGAGAATTCCGGCTAGGCATATTGCGGGCATGCATGTCTCGACAAGACAGCTGTGACAGGTGTCAAGGACAGATTGTTGGGGATAGAAAGGGGGGCTAGGGCAGCAGCAAGAAGGAGAAGAAGAAGAAGAGGGGGGGTAAGGAGCTTCGCAAACCAAGGCAGCGACGTCATCAGAGACTTACAGAATCACAAACTTGCGAGGTCTCAGAGAGAGGACCGGGAACAGGGTGAAGCAGATGACGAAACAGGCGGCGGCAGCCAGATTGCAAAAGGCGAATACCAGCATGCGGTCCCATCGACTTACTACACTCCATGTTAGCTACATCCAGCCACGAGGCGTAGCATCTGCATCACATGCGGCATCCAAGGTGCGAGCTAGAGCTGCAATGCACATGTTTCGTCTGCAGGGGAGCAGAGGAGAAGGAGGGGGGGGGGGGGGGAAGGGCACAAGAGGGCGCGCCGTGTAGGCGATGGGACAATGTGAAGAGGCTTGACTCACGCACAAACCAGCCTTCCTCTTCTTCGCGCCGACTGGGCGCCGGCAGAGGCGCTCCTGGAGCCTCCGATGTGGGAAGGATGGTATAGCCACGGTCCTGGAACGGGTTGAGGTTCTGGAGGGAGGCTAGAAGGCCGGACGACTGCTGAGACGTGGTGATGGGCGCCTCTTGACGGCGGCTCCAGCCCAGGGAGTTGATGGAATCTCGAAAACTACTGGAAGCCATGATCGAGGTCGGCGACAAATCGGCAAGCTTTG